TGGTGGTCCCGGAGTTCTGCTGGTTGCGACCAGAGCTAGACTTGTTGCCGTAGCTGGAGGAGTCGTTGTCACCATAGCTGGAAGAGTCATTGTTGCTGCTGCCGTAGCTATCCTTCTTGGAGGACTGGTTGCCGCCGTAGCTGGACTGGTTGCCACCGTAGCTGGAGGAGTCATTGTTGCTGCTGCCGTAGCTATCCTGGTTGCGACCAGAGCTGGACTGGTTGCCACCGTAGCTGGAGGAGTCATTGTTGTTGCTACCGTAGCTGTCCTGGTCACGACCAGAGCCGGACTGGTTACCGCCGTAGCTGGAGGAGTTGTTGTCACCGTAGCCGGAGCTCTGGTTGCCACTGCCGTAGCTGTCGGAGTCGTTGCGGTAAGACATTTTGGTGGGTTGTTTAGGGGGGATTGGTTTGTGATTGGAGTGAAAGGAAGAAGATAGAGTGATGAGTTAAAGGGTTATGATGCTTATCCCACCAGCGGCGAGCGCTTTATTTATCTCCCACCAGGAAGCCGGCCAGAATCGAATAGAAGAGAATCGCCCCTCGTCCGTAAACCCCTCAATGACAACATGTGGACAAGCGAGGCGAGCAGGGGCCAATGAACATGGCACGGAGAAGCTAGTATATCCAAAGCTCACTAGTTTCGTGCTTATATGTTAGTGATTGCTCGAACCTTGGGAGCCACTTTTTCAGCTTAGGAGCCACATTTCAGCTTCTGTGGCCTAATCGGGACATGACCCCCTAGTTGACCCATAATTGAGCTCGATGTTGTGATATCATCCAATCTGCGAACAGAGAATCACGCCATGGAGAAAGCCATGCGGGACTCTCATTTGCCGGTCGAATGATGTAGCTCTTTTCCGGAGCCGGACTTAGCCGGAGAGGTCACTTCCCCTCATTACTTGGCTCGGTCATTGGATACTGTTATGCAGGTAAAGTCTAGACTCCTCGATCTGATTTGATGATAGGTGGGATGTGTATGTTCTTAAACACGTACGGGAAGTACAGAGTAGCCCTGGGAACCCTGGAAACCCTGAAGGGGCCCTCATTTCTTTTTTTGGGACAGGCAATATGATAATGTAGTGAGATAAGCCAATCATAATTGAAGATCTGGCATCTTCTGGACCCACCTAGGCAAGATCTACCTCGATCCGCGCTATTGATTTCCATGGTAACGTGATGCATTTATCTCCGAGGTCCGCCCGGAATCTTGGTTTGGCTTTGCCAGTCCCACGGTTCAGATAATGCACATCCCTCGGTGTGGCTGTGCATGTGCAACCTACCCCTCCTCGACGCCACCAAGGTGGTCAGCCTCGATTTGACTGCGACGTACTCCTCCGTACAACATATCGAGGACAAGAATTACCCCTATTCACGGGTGGTTTTTTGGGTGGTTTTTGGGGTAGTTTTTGTGATGATTTTTGTAATTGGACTGACTACACGCGACACGTGTCAAAAAGGTATAGGTATACTGTACGGAGTAGACAAGTCTGATTTTATCTATCCTATCTGCGTAGTCTCTGTCTGGGTATTCATTCACTCATTCCTCCCCAAGTATCATTATTACTCTCATCCAATTATTGGTTTAGTTGGAGATCTTGTCGCTGACGTGCTTGCTGTATGGTAAAATCGAATGTTAGCAGATATCCAGAGCAAGCAATTTGGAGTGTCACATACCCAGTGGCCTTCTCGTAGGCCGAGCGGGCACCATCGGTTATCTTCTCCTGCGTGTTGCGGTCGACGTTGTAGCCAGACTTCTTGACACCTGCACCGAAGGCTGAGGCAAAGCATTGTCAGCGCAAATTCGTTTTACACCAAGAACGATAAACCACTCACCCTTGTCAACGTAGTCGTCGCTCTGCTGGTTGTTGTTGCTGCTGTTGTTGCTGCTAGACTCGTGGTTGCCGCCGGAGCTGGAAACAGCCTTCTTGATGAAATCCATGATGATGATATGTGTAGATTATTTGGATATTTAACAGAGATAGATATGAGTAAAAAAGTAGACAAGAAGAAAGAGAGTTGTATTTGTATCTGGTCACAGTAGGGCTGCCCCTCTTCTGCCAAGTTTACTTGAGTGGCGATTCGTCGTCATTACTCCGGTGTCTTACCGCCCCCATGCCTTTCCAGGTATGCAGTCTGGGTCAGGGTGGGATGGTAAGACGGCTAATTGCGCATTGCGGATCGGTGGGCTAGGCTCGAGCATAAGGAACCCTAATAGGCCATGATCTTCAAGTAGTAAAAGTAATAATTGAGACTTATTTTCAAATACAAGTTGTTATATACATCTTTGAATGAAAGGTAACTCCAAAAAAATGCCATCCAAATCAAACAAATCTTAAACACCGAAACAGGCCTTATTGGCAGACCGGATGGCTTCCTTCTCACCCTCGCTCATTGCGTCGGTGATCTCCCAAGGGGTGTTGCCTAAGCCCATAGCACGCTGACCCTCTGGGCTCAGCGCCGACCAATCCATAGCACCCTTGAATCCCGACTCACCGGGCCCACCAGCACCGGGGAAATCCCACGGAGGCGAATAGTTCAGCGCAGCCTGGCGCTGCTTAAGAAGGTATTTCACATTCATGTCGCACAGCGGGGTAGCGGGAATGTACATAACACTAGAGTCCTGGGTACCACGGTGCTCCTTGTCCACGGAATGAAGAGAATCGCAGTGCCACGCAACAAAATCACCAGGCGCAACCTCCGGTACTGAAACCATAGTCGACTCGAGATCGAGATGCGGGTGTGTAACCGGGTTGTACTCCTGGCAAGCGCCAGGCACGGAGCCAGGGAATGTAGCATCCAAGGCCGGTTTTGAGGTTTCGACGTCGAAGAACGGACGCAGGATAGTGTATGCTGTGCTGTGGTTGATCATGGGGCAGACGTGCAACGAGCCCTCGCCAGGCTTGGTGTCCGACATAGATAGCCAGGCCTGGAAGAACCGCAACATGGAGCATGCACCGGCGCCATTGTATAGGTCCATGTTGGCGCTCAGACGGTGTCGCGCATCCCATGCGTCGTATTGTTCCCAGTTACCTTCGAGGATCTTGGTGTAGACTCGAGAGTACTCGGGGTCTTCCCAGCGCTCGAGGGACCCACCGTCAATGTGCGGACCGAGGGTGAATTTTGAGTCGCCTGGATCGCGGATGCGTAGACGATCTGCGTAGGTGAGCGGATTGGTGGTTGAGATCTTGCTGTTAGGGTCGGATGAATGCCACAGCTGCTGCATGAAGCGCTGGGTGTTGAGCATGTTGCTGTGACCGCGGGCTTCGGCCTGTGATGGAGTCCAGTACAGCTCGTAGACAGCTGGGGAGTCAGCCGGGAAGGCCTTGACTCGTTCTTTGTTGGCGGCCACATAGTCGCGAATGCGCTGCTTATACTCTAGGGCTTGGTCCCGGGGGACTACATTGCGGACGACCGCACTGCCTCGGTGGCGGATTTCTTTTAATGCAGCCTCAGACACATTTCCAGAGATCACATCAGAGTAATCAATTGAGGGAATGATCTGGTATTTGAAAGTCAGTCTTTTGCTCGGTGTTGCGGGTTACATGTGCACGTACGTCGCTGCCCTTTGCCTTGATCTTTTGCACTTCTTCATCCAAGCTAGGGAGCAAGCGCTCCCAACTCTTTGTAATTGCATCTTTGTTTTTCTCGAAGATTTGCGCTTTCAGATCTTGAAACCGTGCGGGGAGAGGTTCTGGCTTGTAGTCGGGCCTTAAGCTGGGGAAAACGGATGAGATATCACCGGCGGCCTTGGTTGTCTGGGTCGAGGTAGAGGCCGCTCGGACAGCGGATCTTGAGATAAACTTTGATAGAGACATGGCTGGAGTGAATTCAAGCTGTGTATTCCAACTTTGCGGGGATCTACCCCAGTGCTTTATATGTTTTTCGTGGGGAACACAACATACATTGGTCGAGGCGGAATCATTCCATATACAGTAATCGAGCCGCCGCCGGAAAGAGATGGGCCGCGAAATTACTACATTAGGAGATCGACCCGCATCCGGTCCGTACCTGCAGGCGCTTACCATAGGTACAGCTTCTGTTCATGACATCAGCCTACAAATCATTATTTATGAGGCTAAGGATGTCAATAATGGAGATAAGTTCTTTCGAAGCTTTTGGCGGTTCGGAGAGATCATTCGGGAATATGCCAAGCCGGGTTTCGGGATAGAACATCTGCATTCGGCCGAAGTACTACGGAGTATACAATACAATAGGAATGGAACACTACCTGCCATACCACGGCATTAACTGTGGACTTCAGTTGAATTGAACCTGCGTTATCTTGCTTGAAGGATAGGATCAAGTGAATGTTATATGTGCTGCAGAGCAGTTCTACGTATGTCTATATATCTCGTAGTGATCCCGAGGGCAATTCTCCGAGGGCAATCCACCTGGTCCACGGTTTATATAACCCAAGAACCAAATGAAGGCATGCCGAGTTCTCTCTATTGTAATGTCTCACTGGCTGATCCAAACTACAGTATCTAGCACATATTCGCATCAAACAATATACATAAGTGCTTTCATGAATAGAGCATAATATCAAGAAGAGGGGAACTGCTGTCAGATGGCCTGATACGTACCCAAGGAGACCGGAGAATTAGATTGGATTGGGCCTCATCCAGCCGGCCTCGTACGATGTACATAGGTACAAGGATCGCGGCCACGTTGGCCTCAATCCTTCCTCTCGTCCGACCGGTTAGATTCTAGTATTCTACCCCGCGAGGGGCAGAAAATGGGCACGGAATATGTATGCCGCGCAAGGTCCACGATGTCCACTCTATGTATAAAAGAGGGCTGAATCCCCTGCTAGAAACCGTATAACTCAACCCGCCAACCGTTAATACTTAAACATGTCTATCTCTGTGCAAGGAAAGACCGCCATCGTAACTGGAGCTGGCTCCGGTATGTCTCCTGCATACTGCAATATCAAACGGAAGCTTACACGTAGTCAGGTATCAACCTCTGCTTTGCCAGATTGCTAGTTGAAAATGGCTGCAATGTCCTAATTGCAGACCTAGCCTTGCGTCCCGAAGCGCAAGTGTTCGTCGATGAGCACAAGACCGATTCCCCGCGAGTGGTCTTCCAAGAGACCAATGTGGTTGACTGGGCTCAGCTCGAGCGGATGTTCGAGGTTGCCGAGAAGGAGTTCGGCGAGATTGATATTGTTTGCCCGGGCGCGGGAGTCTACGAGCCGGTAAGACCAAAAAAACCCCCAACAAATCTACAAGTCTAACTAGAACAATAGCTCTGGAGCAACTTCTGGCGCCCACCTGGCGCGGGCGACAGCAAGGACTCGCCCACTGGCGGGCGATACGCTATAATCGATATCAACCTCACCCACCCGATCCGCACGACCCAGTTGGCAATTGCTCATTTCTTGAACAACTGTACCAGCGGTCGCCCGAAGCATATCCTTCATATCTCCAGTATTGCAGCCCAGAATGCTAATCTCGCCAACCCGGTTTACTGCGCCACGAAACACGCCATTAGCGGCTTTGTGCGTTCGCTCGCCAATCTCGACAAGAAGTTTGGTATCCGAGTCACGGCCGTGGCTCCCGGTGTTATCAAGACTCCGCTCTGGACTGAACACCCGGAGAAGATGAAGTTGATTGATGGTAGCGATGAGTGGGTGACGCCCGAGGAAGTGGCCGAGGTGATGTTGGCGCTTTTGCAGCAGGATGAGGTCAGCGAGACTATCGGCGACCGGTCGGGTAATGGGCAGCAGTTTAAGGTGGAGGGAGGTACGATTCTGGAGGTATCAAAGACTGTGCGCGCAGTCGCTCAATTCAATGACCCTGGTCCTGGCAATCGCCCTGGAAACACGGCGTCGGATCATCACGAGGTCGAGGAGGAGACTTATAAGATCCTGGAGCAGAAAGGATGGGGACTGTGAATGTTATAGTCAGTTAGTATCAAATACAACTCCGACAATTGTATAAATACCTCGAAGTGCTTGAAATGGAGTTGATGTTGTAGCAAAGTACCAAGGGCGGGTCATGTGTCGACCCGATAAGCTTTGGAAAGTCAAGGTTGGGCTCTCAAGTGGCCACGGATCTTTCTCTCCTTAAATTCCTCCGCCTTTTCCATTCTCCAGGGCTTTTCTCTTCATTGCAAAACTACTACTAATCTCTCTCTTTTGGTTTTGCCTCGGCCCCGCTGGTAGCGGCCGTTAATTATGTTTTGCACGCCAATCGACCGATAACACCATTTCCGCAACAGATAACCAATATCAAAATGGAGGAGGCCGCGCTCGGGGTTGGTCCATCCGGGGGACATCAGAATATGCTGCGCAGGTAGGCCGGAGCCCAATATCTTGATGTTGATGGTGGCTAATTTGGATTCCATTAGACGTGCAGCCCGTGCAAGACCTGGAGATGTCGTGGGGGAGGCCAGTTGGGCCAGCAGTGTGATCAACCTGGTTAATACCAGTAAGTGCGAGGAAGCGCACCATACAAGAGTGCTCCGAATTCTGATACAATTTCTCCTGCAGTCATCGGTGCCGGTGTGCTGGCGATGCCCCTAGCCATCTCCCGTATGGGAATCGTCCTCGGCGTCTGCGTCATTCTGTGGTCTGCGGTCACCGCAGGATTCGGCCTCTACCTGCAATCACTATGCGCGCAATACCTAGACCGTGGAAGCGCCTCATTTTTTGCTCTATCGCAAATAACATACCCCAATGCGGCTGTGGTCTTTGACTGTGCGATTGCGATCAAATGTTTCGGAGTCGGCGTGAGCTATCTCATCATCATTGGAGATCTTATGCCGGGAGTGATACAGGGCTTTGTCGGTAGCGAGCCTGGATACGATTTTCTGGTGGACCGCCACTTCTGGGTTACATTTTTCATGTGCGTAGCCTCGTGCATTTTGTCTAAACGAGGGGAAGTGCTGACCATTTGACTTTAGGCTGATCGTGATTCCTATTTCCTACCTGCGCCGTTTGGATTCTTTGAAATATACGAGTATCGCGGCCTTGGTGTCCATGGCCTATTTGGTTGTCTTGGTTGTGTATAAGTTTGTTCAAGGAGACACGATGAAAGATCGGGGCCCGATTCGCGTGGGCCATTGGGAGGGCGCAGTTCCGACTCTCAGCAGTCTGCCAGTTATTGTCTTTGCATTTACTTGCCATCAAAATGTACTTTCCCAAGTCGTGACTCGTCGGTTCTTTCTAACAAGCATTTTAGATGTTCTCCATCCTCAACGAAATCGGCAATAACAGCCATTTCCGCACAACCGCCGTTGTTATTGCCAGCGCCGGTAGTGCAGCTGCAACCTACATCCTCGTTGCCATCACCGGGTACTTATCCTTTGGCAACAGCGTAGGCGGGAATATCGTCGGCATGTACCCACCGGGCGTGTACGCAACGATCGGCCGCGCCGCAATCGTCATGCTAGTAGTCTTCTCTTACCCACTACAATGCCACCCATGCCGCGCCTCAGTCGATGCCGTCCTAAAATGGCGTCCCCGAGCACAAGTCGCTGGCGCAGAGAGCTCTCCAAACCGACACCCACTTCTAGGCCCGCGCGGAAACCGCACGCCAGAGCCAATGAGCGACCTTCGCTTCTCCATTATCACAACCACCATCTTGATTCTGAGCTACCTAGTCGCCATGACCGTGTCCTCCCTTGAATCCGTGCTGGCATATGTCGGGAGCACTGGCAGCACGAGCATCAGCTTCATTCTTCCGGGCTTGTTTTACTACAAGATCTCATCGCCCGACTCGCCTACCCACCAGGGCTTAATGAAAGAGGACGATGAGGCGGAGGATGATCTCTCAGGAGATGACGACGGCGACGACGGCGAGGGTTCCCTCGCTCGCCCATTGACAGAGAGTGGCCTTTTGCACCGTGGCACCCGCCACTGGCGCAAGGCGCTGCTTCGCCGACTCAGCCTGGCATTGGCTCTCTACGGCCTCGTCGTTATGGTGGTGTGTCTGGTTACGAACACCTTCTTCAAAATCTCACATTAATAGGCCGCGTCCTTTATGTATGAAGTCTCTTTCCCCTTCTTGTTGGCCGGAGCCCGTCTTTTTAACATCTTTCAACCCGCCGTGTATCTCAGGAACTTCTCCCTTGGGCTTTTCTCGCCTGTTCATCAGTCTCATTTCTCTTTCCATATTCTTCTCCGTTTGCGCATTGCTCTCTATGTTCGCTGCTGTGTCTATTCTGTTGTTGGTATTGCTCTTTGCATGTTTAAGTTTTATTTGATTTGGGTTGTCCATGCTAGGCGTTTGGATGATTGTGTGTATTTGGCTCGATTTCTTAATCTATACTGTTGGCTGCATTATTACGCGGGTATGCAATGGCTAATTGCTTTGGTAAGGAAAAAAGAGGGAAGATAGGATTCAAGGCAAACTTACAGCGAACAGAGTTATAAGAATTCAAAATGTGAATGAAGAGAAGTGTACAAAGTGATTAAAAGACCCGATGTAAAGCATAAAACCCTCATTCGAAACTAATTCCGAGAAGCACCAAAACGCAAGCTTATTTGTCAAGTTTGTTTGCTATCGGACCAGAGCCTGCTACAAGTATGCATGTATCTCTCAACCCTCAAGACATTTCAATGCGCAATTAGTTGTTGTTGTTAGCACCGTTCAGAATCCGCAGAATGGACATGAACAAGTTAAGCACGTCGAGATAAAGCGAGATCGAAGCAGCGATCTCCTCCTCAACGTGATAGTGCCGCATAACCAACTGCGTATCGACGAGAATATAGCCCGAGAAGACGAGAGCGCCAAGAACACCATAGATGATCTCCATCGTGCTGTTGAATGGGATAAACATAGCCACGAACCCGAACAGGACCATGAACCACAACGCGCCAAACAGGTATGGCATCCAGTCGGTGAAATCGTACTTAGTCTGGCATGCAAAGAGCGTCAAGGCGACGAAGATTCCTAGTGTTAGTGCGAGCGCTTGCACCACTACTTTCGCATCGTAGAAAGATGTCGCCACGCTGATTGAGTACGCTTCAAGGACGGTGAAGCCTGATAGGAAAAGAAGGTTGGTCGGGTAGGACTTTCGTTTCCAGAATGTTGCGAGCATGAATCCCAGAGCACCGAAAACTGAGATTATCATCAGCCAGAAGTTGGACTGGATCCAGGTGCGGTAGGAGTCGTTAAAGAAGGAGATTGAGCTGAGGATCGTTGTAAGGAGGAGTTGGGCCGTTCTGAGCGAGGAGTGTTAGTATATTAGAGCCCACGCACTTGAGTCTGCGTTTGTGAATCGTGTTGCACTTACAGAATCGAGTACACTTTGCGCACGAATTGCATTCGGATGTCAATCGTTCCTTCGGCGACGGTACCTCCGAACTATGCGATTTTATCAGTTTCTGTCTTTCTAGCCGGGCTCAAGACCCCTAAAAGGCATGGTAAATGCATACCTTGAAATCATCCGGCAGATTGTCATCCTCACCACGAGGCGTTGACTCCGCTGGAGCCGCTGTGGCCTCGTAGGAGGGAGGGGCTCGGGAGTAAGACGGGTCATCCAAGGAGTCCCGCTGAGGAGCAGGCTCGTATCTGGTGTTTGCAGCCATGATGGTATAGAGTTATGTTTGGTCTCGCGGCGCTGGTGTTGAACGTTGAAATGGATCGCCGACAAAGAGGAAGATGAGCTGAAGCCTGGAGGTGGAGCCCATATGATGTGACGAGTCACGTGTGATAAGCCACATGTGGGGCGCGCTTGCTTATGTTATACATACACTTTGCTCGGGTGGCGCCCACATGGGTAGGTGGACCGGGGACAGCATTCTATATACTTTTCACTGTATTCTATTTTTTTGCGGGTTAATATTTCGATGATATAAGCACAGGAAAGACTTCGAATCATATAAAGTTCTAAAACGCTTTCAATATTTGAGCTTTTATAATGCACTCGTGTCAGATGAAGCAGCAGAACAGACTGCCATCGACTTCCAGACCCACCGATCTATGAAGAATTTGAGTTATCCGCACAGGACCACGCAGCTGAACCACCGTTCGCCTTGTAGCTGTCCATGATGCTGACGACAGACCCATATGTACCAGCGACCATCATGAAACTGCCGATGACGATAACAAAGACACTCCAGGAAACCATGAACATCCACCTCGGGGATCGGTCGACCTTCCCCTTACCCCAATTATCGTACAGCCACATGCAGCCCATGGGTTGGAAACACATGAATGTGCCGAGCAAAGCACCGATAAGCGAGACGAGACTGTCAAAGACGGGAATGGCACTTGCGATGACGTAGGAAATAAGACCGACTGCTGCGGTGCAGCCGATCCACGAGCCCCAGTGCACCATGCTGTTTGAGGTGAGGTGTTTGGAGCCTCTGAGGGCGCGGACGAAGACGAATTTCGCGGGCAACTGTCAGTGATGTGTTAGGTTGACTGGATCGCATAGATAAAGAGACCTAGAGAGGAAGTGCTTACATGAACGAACAGCATCACAGTAACCAGAAGACCTGGAATGGCAAAGCCATAGCTGACCTTCTTCATCGTATCGCCGGCGGAGCCAAGAGCAGGCGAGGCAACATAAGAGCCGCAGTAGTAGTAGACTACAACGCCGATGGTAACGTAGACAGCCGTCACGCTGCTTTGGCAGATGATCAACGAGCGAGTATAGTATTTGGGGTCGCGCATTTCCGATACAATAGAGAAGAATGCCGGTGTGCCAGCGTAGGCGAAGATAATCGAGCTCACGGCACTGATGGCTTCACTGAATTTGGGACTGGCAACGATCTTGTAGTCAGATACCCAGATCCCCTCTTGTGGGGCTGAGGCCGGGCGGTCCTGAACGCCGACAGCGATGGTGACGATGAAGACTATAGTACGAATCGGTTAGGGCTATGTTATATCCCGTGACATCTAGGGAAACCTTACTTGCGGCCAATATGCAAGTCAGTCCAATCCACGCTAACCAACTGATTTTTCCGAGAGTTCGGATACTGGCGAAGATAATTCCTGCGACGGCTGCAACAGCAACATAGACAGCCGTGCATGTGGCATGACTCGAGACGGAGTTGAGAGCGATTGACAGACCGAGCATTCCTGAACCGGCGACGAAAATCCAGTCTAGAGAGGCAAGTTAGAAGCGAATCTATAATCGTGGTCATTGCATAGACCTACATAGGCAGAACACAAAGCCGAAAACCTCACGACCGATCACACCGAACATCAAGTAACCTGCATCGTCGATACCGTAGACTGAGCGATGGTTGAGCTTAAACACGCCGACCATGTAGTCGGACCACGTTGTAATAACAGCAACGACGATCAGGCAGATAACGCCTGGGACGAGGCCTAATGTATCAAAGGTGCTTGGGATGGAGAGGACACCGAGGCCGATCTGGCTCTTCATCATGAGGATCACCGTTCCTGCCCATCCTACCTAAAGAGGCGTTAGTTTGACCCAATTGGACATTCCATAGAAAAGAAAAGGAAGAAAAGAGGAAAAGAAGGAACATACATTTCGGTAGTTGGGTCCGGATTCGGTGATCTCTCCAAACACATCATCGTGGTTGTTGATATGACTATTCTGGATTTCACGGCTCTGAGATGGATCAAGACCTTCAAGGTCTTTTTCGTTTTTGATATCCATCATATTGAAGAATGGGAAATGGGAATGTAAGGCGGATACAAAAACTGGGTCTCGAAGTATGCGGGATGTCGCGCTTATAACTACACCGGATGTCTGACCGATGGGCCACTACGGCCACCCAGAGAGACAGATAAGGGCTAATCACTTGGATTCAACGAAAGTAAATGGTGAGGCGTCTGTAATACCCATTGTGGGTACTCGGTACGGAGTATATTGGCTCACTTTACAACATAATTCTACGCTAGCCCGGTTTCAGAACTATAACCCCGTAGATCCACCAGAAGCTGGGCAATGATAAATTGTTCTCGAGCATTTTGAACGCCTTTGAACGTATGACTAGTCCGTGGAGACTATGTGGAGTACAAGTAGGTACCTAGGTCAAGATGGTTGGACACTTTACAAGGTTCTCCATAACTACCCCATGGGGAGACGCGGAGAAGTTCATAGTTGTGCAACCTTAACTAAACAACGTTACGCCTAAAGCGCCCAGAGCGCCCAGAGCGCCTCTCCGGATACCTCGGCAAGATGCGTAAAATAAGAGAACACCTATGTATTTATGCTAGTACATGGACGATCTTCATCAATGTTATCAGGCACGTTATCTATAGAACAACAAAGTTTAACTTACATTTCCCTTATGTACATTTATATAGATAACTGCTAACCTGCTATTATCAAACCCCCCAGATAAGCTGAACATCCAAGCTTTGCCACGGCAGTACCGACGTCAGCCTCTTACCACATCGTGAGGGGTTTAAAAGGGGGGGAAAGCTAAAAAGAAGGGGCGTAGGTGGCTTTTCCCTTCGCCAAGCAGCTAATCACCGGTTGCTTGGCCGCTGATGAGGCATTTGCTTCCGAGATCGGCAACCGTACCCGGTCATTGCTAAAGTGTACGTAGGTTCTTTGTATGTTGTACTCCGTACGGACTACGGAGTAGATATCATGGCTTTCCTATTATGACTCATATCTCTCTTTTCTAGCATTGATTAGACGAACAATGCATATTTGGCCCTTTTGGTCCGGTACTCGAGAGTGCGATAGTGCGATCGTCGGTGTCCGGAACAGATAGGAAGGTACACATGGGCCAACTGCAATTGTGCTGCGAATATCAAGGGAATGGATCAGGCGGTACATGCGCCCTGTTAGAATATTTTACGTACAGAGTACTCAGACAAAGCCTGGGCGCTCTAACTAGGACGTCATTTTTCGCTTAAATTAACATATGGAGTAGTTGAAACCTCGAGCAACGGGTAGACAGGATCCTAACGTCAGTTTGTTCAGTATGATCCACTCCTATCATTTCTGTCGCATTCTTTAACCCTTGTTAGTTCTCGCGTGATTTTCCCTCGGAAACCTATGATCTAGAAGAGTCCGTGAATGTAGGATCTATGATGTAGGATCTACAACATGCATGGAGTTGCCTTCCAGAAAGCCCTAACATAGGTGTCCTACACTAAGACAAACAAAGTAAGATCGATCCTATAGATAAGACATTATCAATGACAAAAAATATATCGTTGAATCCTGGAGCCTGGTCGATCAGGTCGATAGGCAAACTATGAGGTCCACTGGCTTGATCTTGCTCCTTTGTCTCGCTCGTTCGCAGCAACGCTCAATCCGTGCTTATTTCCGCCTCTCACTCCTCACATATTCAGATATCGAATCGATGTGCTTTCATACGACATAGAATACCAATCACGATCGTCGCTTCACTGCCCTAACATCCCATTGACATGCCATATTGGTGGCAGTGCTGGCATGAGTGTTTTAGGCAAGGGATATACAGTAATGAACAAGCCGGCAGATATACACCGCTAGGTCAATTTCAATGTTCTGAAGACAAGGAGCTCGCCACACAGGATCTAGACACACCCGAGGCTGACCAATGCGAGACATTTGGGTTCGCGCAGGAGCTAGCTCGGGACCGCCTGCTTTAGAGACATCGCCAGATTGGGACCTTCAGAGTCCAGAACTCTCGGGCGAAAGACCCATGCAGACAAGCGCAGTCTCCCTCACGCAATATCCGTGCCCGCCTTCCTTCTTCTATCTGATAGAATCCGAGAGGACAATGCGACTGTATTGGCTGCGCTGACGGAAGGAGAAGAGGAAGGAAGGAGCAAAAAAGCCACTCGGCAGGCCTGGCGAACAAACACGGCAGGAGCACGTACCAGACGGATACCATTCCGAGCAAACTACTATCTCGACGTGACTCGGGCCAGGTACCCGTACCCGTAGGCGTATCTTGTAATATGTGTGTTTGTCGCGAAGAGAAGAGCTGACCCGAATCCCAATATTAATATTTATGCATAGCAAGATAAGAAGTATATGCAAAGTTACTGGAGATATCTATAATTTCACATCACATCCATCAAGCGGGTGACGGCCCCGACAGAGAATACCCCCCTGCTCATCAGCACCGATAGGCAACTGGCGCAGCCTAGCTGAAACCTATTCAATAATCCGACCCATCGTGTCTCTGCGCTCTGAATCCGGTCTCGATTCCGAATCCTCGTCTGTGCTCAGATCCGCCTCGTCGTCTTCGTCCGTGCTATCGTCTCCGCCGTCTGCCATATCCGGTCCTACACTTGCGCTGGACATGTAATTTGGTAGACGTCTTCGCTCGAAATCCTGCGCGTGGGCTGAGGCTACAATCGAGCCGACCCGGCTGATGCCAACCGAGGGGCGGCGGTTGCGGGCCCGCAAGCTGGACCCGGACGGGGTGCCGTTTTCGACATCGCCGGGCGCCATGAAAGGTGTTGAGGCGTGCTGCTGTTCTTCGAGTTGGACATCTTCTGCTGAGCCGTCGAGGGGTGCTGCGGCTCGTGAGGGGACATCGTAGGGGAGAGGGACATCACGGGAGGCGCGGAAGAGGAGGACATTGGTGCAGTGTTCGTTTTCGACACGGAAGATGGACCAAATGCCACGGCGACAGACCTCCGAGAAGGCGACCATAAAGCTAAGCAGGGCGGACTGCTGTATATTTTTGATGAATATTGCGTAGAAGATCCAGTTGAAACGGATCACCACATCGAGCACCATTGCGGCATAGTATACCCATACGCGACGGAAGGCGAGGACTTCACGGAGCATTGGGTTCTTTGCGTATGGGTTACCCAAACTCCAATCCATGATTAGATCCCACACTGAGGTGTAGACGGCGTTTAGGAGGGCGAAGGTGATAAACGAGGCTTGGAACCTCGTTTGAAGGTCGATGCGGTACATGCTGAGAGTGGCATAGTAGAGGACACCGAATAAATACTTGCCCAAGTTCAGGAGATGGGGGAACGCGTTCTTCGTGTCCAGATATCGGCGAATACATTGGAAAGCTCGCCAGACAGAGGGGAGGCATTGGAAAAAGCCCAGGAGCCGAGAGTGGGAGGAGTTGCACTTGGGAGGGTAGTCCCAGTACGAGGCATATAGACAGAAGAAGAGCTCGATGTTCCCCATAGCATATGTCTGAGAACAGTACATGTCACCGAGGAAGAAATCACGGAACTCGACTGGGTAGATTCCGGCAAGCAAAAGGCGCCACTAGATAGGTTAGATATGCTAATCGACAGTAATATGATGCTGTATGAACTCACATTGGAAAATGCGAACCATTTGCGACTCCTGTGGTAAAGAACACGGGCCGGCAAGAAAATAATGATCACAGTCAAGCCAATAAGGACGACAGGCCAATAGACATACATGTGGTTGTACCATGAGAAGTTGAGCCACATGAATAGGCCCATCAAGAAAAGGAAGAAAGAAGGGATCTGTACTTGTCAGGATGAATGATCAGAGCTATTACCGCGAAATAAGACATACCTCTAGCAACTGACGCCACTCTAAGGTGTTTCTGGTATCGTATTCGAAGACAAATGCATGATTGATCTTCGACTTTGTCCAAATCATACAATCCAAGCAGAAGAGCAAGAAATGGAAGACGATCAGGAAATACCCTCCATATATCTGCTCGATTGGTCAATGGAGTCACACAAAAGACGAAAGAGCGAAGAACCAACCTGGAGGAGATAACTGGTCCGAACTTGTTCAGCGACGTTAGGCGAGCGGAGATTTGACTTAGAATCAACCAAGGCCTTGATGGCAAACAGAGTTCCACCCATCAACAATAGACCGGAGCGGAAAGTATTCGGTGAGTAATCACCAGATTTGTTGATTGTGTGACGGAGTTTGGAGACGGCGATTTTGCGATTACCGCCCTCAAAGTAACGGGCATACAAGTCTTCGACCGCTGTCATCAAACTCTCAATCACCTCACTCTGTACGAAGGACGCTTTGTTGACCTTTTCAGACATGTACCGGAGCGGTGGACGGGCGTGGACCGCTTTGTCGTATTTCTTGTTAATCTTCCGGAAAGCCGTTCGATTCAAATAAGCATATCCCTTGAGGAGCTCCACTCCGCGGTAGAACTCCTGCAACGCATGCTTGAGCTTACGCTTAGCGGAGCGATAGGGCACTTCTTGACTTTGCGGATCCTGCCGCCGCATGAAGTCCCTCCGGTTGGCGATGAACTCCCGATCTTGGGGTTGCATGCCGGGAGTCGCCATCTCCGCCAGTGCTTCCGAGTTCTTGCCGAAACGGTTCTTTCCCACCAACGAACCCTTGATTCGAGCATTCGTGATTTTCGCGAACCCATTTGGTCGTTGATGTGTCTCCGAGTCATCGGATTTGATTCTCTTAGAAGCCAGGACCTCTTGGATTCGCTGGTCTCGCATAATATGTAACTGCTGGCGAAGGACCCGCAGTTTCTCGGTGGCCTCTTGTTCTTTCGTCACATAAAACGAATCGATTTTGTGCAATTCGCTATCCAAGAACTCGAAGAATTCGTCCCGACGTTTATCAAGCTCTGATGTAGCGCTAGGGTCTACCTCTGCCGTAAACACGCGCCGCAGCAGCTGTGATGTCCGGTTGCCCGAGGCCACCTTCGTCAAGGCGTCACCACTCGAATAGCTCGTCCGTGGATCCAATTGGGGCCTCTTGGCCGGCAATGGTTCTGATAAAGGGCGAGAGGGTGAGCCGTTCAGCATGCCACGTCGATCCATGACCGGCGAAGGTGTCCGGAGATTCCCAAGTCTATCTGCAGTATCCTCATGTGGCGGATAGTCTTCACCCGGGTCAAGTGCCGGGTCCGGAAGTTCAAATGAGGCTACATCCGAGCCTGCGGTATGGTGCTGTTGTGGCGGCGTTGCGAGTATGCTTCCATAACTACCAACGTTCTCAGAGAACCGCGATCCTGGCGTGCGAAGCGGTTGTCGCTCAGTTTTGGGCACCGGCGTGGAGCGCGCTGATGGCGGCTTGGCACCACTTCGTCGTGGCGTCGATGGGCCATTGTATTCTCCTGCATCGAGATGCTTATCGGTATTGGAGGGTGTGAGAGCAGATTGGACTGCGCCGCGACTTTGCGGGCTGGAAGTGGGCGGTCGATAGGACGGGACGCGGGGACTGCGATTTGCCTTCTGTAGGGCCCGGGTGATGGCCTTGACTTTCTTCTTGCCAGTCTAGACAGTACATTCAGGTAAGTACAGCTGTGACACAATGTGGCAATGATGACGAACCTTGTAGTCGAGATACTTTGCCCGCCATTCAGGAACGAGTTCCTGTTCCAGCTCTCTGCGGATTTGGTCAGCCACTGGAATGTCGCACACTGTCACGGGGGAATACAAACTTGGCAAATTTCATCCTGACCAACAATCCACCGTCATTGCATATGGTTTCGAAACCTGGAGTGCCGGCGCCGATCCGAACATCAAATCTCACACAAGTGCGAGGGTTCCAAAGCTGGAGCAAGAGTAAACGAAAGCCTCGCCACTCCTGAGTCGAGATAGGGGAAGACGGATAGTATTGGAAAGAGGACCTCGAGGAAAAACAAGTATGTTGTAGAAATTCCAACGACGCTATACTCAGATCCGAAGATTCTCCCCAGAAAATCTGCAACGCCGCAAACTCTACGGAGTATCGCAGCTGAACCTATACTTTTGGCACGTGTATGAGCTCATCCACGGGCGGCGCCTGAATTGTTAGGCCGCAAGCCCACACTTGGTCAGCCTTGTACGCTGATTGGCTGGGACGTGATCTCAGACCCACAAGGCCAGATTCCTGAAGTTTGGGGAATCCAAGACCTGGGAATATCCTCACTTCTTTCATACTCCAGGGCTTATGAAGTATTGACCCGTGCAATGATCTATCACTTCTTATGCAGAACGAATACGAAAATACCCCGAGACCGACGCAATTCATCGGCGATTGACCCAACGACTGTCTCCTATCTAAGATACGGCAGCATTGGAATGCGGCCGGAATGCCGTCGGCGTGTTCTCATGGTGATGACTGGCTTAAGAAAAGCCCCGGCATCCCTGTAAAAGCTTGGCGCATTTTCTCCGTCGGACCAGTGTCTTATTCGTAAGTAGACGTACGTAGCCCTACGTATGTCTATCGGAACTATGCCATGCAAGTTCATATCGTGCATACATATGATCTCGGGGTAAGGATATTGATATCGATTTTGGATTACATTGGATGCTTCGTTTCACCGCTCTTTGCGGATACGAGGTTGAAATATTCAAATTGTTCGATGGATCATATCTCTTTCTTACTACATACCACCAGAGGGGTGTTCATAAAACAAGTTTCATCATTCATGTATTGCTATCCTCGACACGACTGGCCTAGTAGTTGCGGTTGTCCTCACGGTAGTTGTCGCGGCCGTTGTCGCGGTAGTTGTCGCGGTTGTCACGGTTGTCGCGGCCGTTGTCGCGACCGTTGTCGTGCTGCTCGTAACGCTCCTCGTACATGTGCTCGACGTTCTTCTTGGCGTGGTGCTCGGCCTTCTCGCGGTCAAGCCAGTTCATGCCCTTGGTCTCGGCGAGCTTGTCGACCTCGCCGCCGACCAAGCCGGCGATGAGCTCCTTGGCCAATTTGTGGCTGGAAGGCTTGCCTGTTTTCAAATACAAGTCAGAAGATTGTCCATTAATCATTAGTTAGGGACGCAATGCGTGTCACGTACCCTCCTTGCGCTCGTGGTCCTCGTAGGCCTTCATGGCAGCAAAGGAAGCGGCACCGGCAACGAACTCGTGAGAGAACTTGCCCTCATGGTGCTGTTCGCCGTTGTACACCTGCTCATGTGCCCGCTCGGATTCATCTAGCCTGGCGTTAGCATGATTTTCGTTTCAATAGCCAATGGCGTGATGTTGGGATATTGCCGGCTATGCAGGTCGGGTCGGCCCTAGTGCATGCAAGCTGTAAGGTATGTGTCTAAGGGAATTCGAACTTACCCCAGCCGTAAGCCATTGTGTATATAGATAGATGAAAGTAGGGAATAGAGAAAAGTTTGTATAGTGATGAAGAAAAGAATACAACGTAGTGCGGGGCGATGAGGGGATCTTATACCCAGGCAAGAGAGGGACTACAGAATACTCCAGAAGGGCTACGTAGGTCTACGGGGTACGTTGTACTAAGATTCGGGTATAGCTTTCTCCCCTCTGTCTCAGCTGGAGTTGCCCCACCATCCAATCTACCAGAATAGTGGCTGAGCTGGTTCAACATGTATGGGATAGATATGTCCGAGGTGGAGCGAAGACACCCTTCCGCCACACAAATCAGACACAACTTTCAGGGTGTTGGCCCGTGGCTGAAGCTGGCAGATGCTTCCGAAGAACATCCTAGTGATTATTGTTGCGTATCTTCGGCGATGCAGGCAACTTCATTAGGACCGGTGGTGGAATCATCCCACCACCGCATCGCTAGTCTCTGACTTCATTGGAGGACCACTTGGACGGGACTTCCTGTCACAATTCCCGAATTACCGCCAGGGGTGTTTTAGCTTTTGCCGGATCCCAGCTGAACTGCTTTTTGGTCCCCGGGATCGATGTTTGGTCAAGGGTTGCCCTGAAAGACGCTACATGCATGCCCAGCGTTCAGTTCGCCCAACAACGGACAAGTAGCATGATGCACTGTGTATGCTGTACCAATGCTGCTTCCGCATGGCGCTTTCCAAAAACTTGGACATCCGGTACGGAGTACAACTTTCGACTCGCTCATTACGAGGACGTGTCCCACCAATGTCCAATAGCATGTCGATCTGATGGACCCGGATGGGTCGTCTCAGCCCTACTCCGCTATGAATTGACGAATAAAAAGATGAGACACAGGATACCAGATCCATTTCAGGTCATTTATACGGTATGCGTTACGCACATGTGCAGTTAGAAACCGATCAGCCTGGCTTGATCGAGCCAAGCCTCCCTTCTAAGGCTTGTCGTCGCCTTAAAATTCTCGGCAACACCAGCCACAAGCAAAGTGGCGGTGAACATGTAACTGGGTGCACTTGCAATGGCCTCCTACAACATACGGAATAATGAGCAGTGACTTTGTAGAAGTAGTCTTTGTATTGGTAAAGATATAATACGGGTGGGCTGACCTGAAACTAAGTATGTTGTACATAGTACTTACGTACGGAGTACTGGAACATCTGGCTCTAAGCCACACTCGGACTAAAATAGCATCACTACGACATGTGTCAGATCAATACACTACTTGATTAGTTACTCCGTTGAACACCACCACTTAACTATAGCCAACGTATGAAGATCCCTTTCCCTTGAAACAATTGAATGTTTCAATCTCTCGATCAGCAATCGCGAATACTATCACAGTAACAGTGAGATCGTCTCCCAATTAACGTGAAACCCTTACCGTAAATACTCTGTATCGTGTCCAAACTAGTAGTAGTACTCCGTAGTACTCCGTACTCCGTACTATGTACCAACAACCCTCCGTGGCTGGAAACATGAGCTCTGCGCCACATACGATCACAGCCACACTCCGCGGCATTCTCTGAGCTCAAGCTCCAAGCTCCAGCTCCAAGCTCCAACTAAACTTAGCTCAACTCAACTCAATTCAAAATGCCTACCAAAACCCCCGCCCCATGCGACTTCCCATCCGAACTTACCGTGACCATCACACCTGCCCCACCCTTCCCCGCCCGCTCCCAATCAGCATCCCCAGCCCCAAACATCCTACTCCTACTCCATGGCCTCGGAGACACAGCCGCATCGTTCACAAAATTCGCCGAAGCCATCCGGCTCCCAGAAACCACCATCGTCACAGTGCAAGGCACAGCCCCTCTGCCCTTCGACCTGGGCGGCTTCCATTGGGGCGACGATGTCTCCTTCGACTCCGCGACCGGCGCGCTAGACATGGACGCCGGCATGACGCGCAGCACGAGGATTCTGGTCGAGGACGTCGTGCGGGACACGCTCGTACAGAAATGCGGGTACGCGCTGCGTGAGATTATGGCGCTGGGTTTCGGGCAGGGCGGAATGGCTGCGCTGGCTATGGCGCGGGAGCTCGGGCTGAAGGGGAAGGAAGCTGGAAATGGTAACGGTAACGCGGACAGTGGGGAGGTTGGTACCCTCTCTGGTGTCATCTCTATCGGGGCGCCTTATCCGTTGTCAGGATCCAGGGTCGGGAATACGAATCGCACCCCGGTGCTACTGGTTGCTGGCAGGGATTCGGTGGCGGTTTCGGATGAGGCGGTGCGTAGGACAAAGCAGGTTTTTGAGTTCGTCGAGGTGAGCCGGTATGCTAGGCGGGGGGATGGGATGCCCTCGAATCGGGAGGAGATGTTGCCTGTTATGCAGTTCTTTGCGCGCAGGTTACGGAGTAGACAGGGTGTTCCTGAGGGCAGTGTGGAGATTAGCTGAACATACAGCATTACCTGTGTAAATTGGATGTCAGTTCACGATTTCGCTTTGCGGTCCGAGACATGGGTGTAGGTGCGCTGGAAGACGCAATTGGGCACATCCTGGCGTCTGGAAAATGGGTGACTCGATAACCTCGATAATGGTCGGGAATCGACATATCGATTTTCAGCTGGCGACATTCTGTAGGTTTCCGTAGTCCGAACTAGTGGCATATTCGAACTATCAAAGAGGGGTTACGGCGCCAATCGACAACGCACAATTGGTCAGGACCTCGCATTCGTCAATTTTGATCACATCCAAGTCATCTGATCTTAATACTCTTTAGTATAGGTTCATTGCCTAGCCAAGCTATGAGAACCACCTCTCTCAAGAAATTCTCTCACGTTCTAATACACCAAACCCAAATCGCAAAAGGTAACCATCGATGATCACAGTGCTCAAAACTACAGATATGAGGCTAAGACTGACCGCATAGAACAAACAACATGGCCTACAACCTCTCAATAGAGGTCTTCGGTTCCGGCGATAGCCCCACACACCGATCCCACTGGGGCTTCATGATCAACAAACCCGGGAATCTAGAATTCGGAGATCTCCTCCAAGTCGAGGTCGTCGATTCAGACCGGTTGTGGTACGGTTTTGCGCCTCGGTACGCCACAAAGATTATCGACAAAGCGGCTGTGGGGATGTGCAAGCTTACCGATCTGACGTCTCAACAACGACACGACGTGATCAAGATTATCGAGAAGGTGCCTGCTCCTAAGAATTCAATTGGCCTGTGCCAAGATTGGATTTTTGATGCTTTGTTGTCTTTGGAGATTGAAGAGTTTGTTCCTTCCGGTACTTCTGCTTTCTGGAAGGGCATGGTTGGCAGACCGGCACGAGAAGTTGCTGCTGCTTGTGGGACGCAGTGGACTGCCTTTGCTTGATACGTTTATGTGTTTGGATGCTAGGTCAGGGCATGGGATTGGAATGATTGGAATGTCAGTGAAGAGAAGATAATAGTATTTGTGATGAATTGTCTCGTAACTCTAGTATATAAAACGCCTTGGTATATACCAAGGCATGGTATGGCAAGTGCCCATGTACATAGTTAACTGCTCCTTTCTCGAGCCCCAATGTCGGGTCTCTTCACGGTCCAAGGGATATCTTCGCAAAGCCCACTTTTATGCACCTATGTTCAAATATAAACCACCCCGCTGTGTACTGAGACTCCTCAGAACCCACAGAATGAATCAAGCCCAAATATAAACTCCCAACCATATCTAAATGCAACCGAGCACAAAAATCTAACAGGAATCATTTCTTAATCCCAATAACAGCCAGATTGCGCGGACTCTGGCCATACTCAAACACCGTCTCAACCCAACACTCCTTGACAGAGTCATGCTCACGCAGGAACTGCCAGCGATCCACCACAATAGCAGCCTCAACAACCTGAGAGCTGAAAGCCATCAGACTCCACACAATACTGAGATTCTTGCGCGTGTGCAAGTACTCCGTTTCATAGCGCTGCAACTCCTCTTCAGACATGGTACAGATGCGCTTCTTGACCAACTCGCCTCGGATCGGATCCAGGCTCAGTTTGACCGTTGCAGCCCGTACGTACGCAGAGAAAGACTCGAATGCAGACTTGCGGAGCGACCCAACGATCAGCGCTATACCCCCGGAATCGGGGCTGTCGGTGTGGTCTTTGTAGAGATCATCGGGCACATCGGGTTTGGGGACGATGCCGTGATCTAGAAGGACGCGCTGCAGCAGAGCGCGGTAGAAATGGCGCGTGAAGAATCCTTCGCTGTCGGCGTGGCCCCAGTTATGAGGTGCCTGTACGGCCATTGAGCGGGCTGTGATATTGAGCTTAAAACCTGTTGTGGTCTTTGCTTGGTAATTTTCATAGAGTTTGGACATTGGGAATCCGTGCGGGTCCCATGAAGATCCGGTCTTTTTGAGGCGGGGGTGGGCGGATCGAAGGATGGGGATTTTGTATGTTGCTGGCCCCAATCGTTCGGTTAGAAGGTTGTAGCAGCAGCCGATCATGGCGATTGCCACAACAGAAGGGTTGAGTACTAGTGATCGGACTCCGTGGTGGAGGAGGTTTCCGCATGAATGCAGAGAGACCACCATCACCCGCGCGTCACTTGGTTTCTTTTCAGACTGCACGATGACTTCTTCTGTGCTGGTCCTGGTTTCAACTGATGTCTTTGGGTCCACGACGTGCTCGATGATCGGTTCCAGGTAGCCATCTTGGATATTATGTTCGATGTAGCTGACAGTGCCTCTGGTGTCGACCTCCGGTCGGGCCTTTGGTACATGTACTACATGTGGCTTTCTGTACATCGAGCCGAGCACATCATCGGCTTCTAGGGTCATATCGGCTAGCATGTTAGAGGTGGTGTCTTCATTCAGCTCAGCAGGTTTTTCTGGCACTGCATCGCTCAATTCCAATGGTGCTCCCATATTCAAGTCAGGAACCTCTGGTTTTTCCGCAGTGGCTAGGTCTGGGGCTAGTTCTGGGGTTTGCATGAATTGCCTCTTCAATTTGTTGTGCTTTGCATTATGCATTGTCTTGATCTTTTCCTCTTTAGCCAGTCGAGCATGAACGTCCATACGACTAGCACCGCTGATGTATTGGTGCTTTCGCTCAATGGCAATGATATGCTTATGATAGGGTGAGCTTGCCAACATGCGCCCAAGGTAGTTCTGCCCCGACCCAAAATCAACAATGTGAGACAATGGCTCCCCGCGACGCTCATTGACCGTCTCCGACAAAGATGCGACATAGCGAGAGAATTGCTCCACCTCGTGCTTCTTCTTCTTGTTCATGCCGATAGCGATATGCATCGGGAGAGGTTCGCTCTTCTCAGATGTGGTGAACTCGCGACGGAGGCTGAATCGTCGAATGTCGCGAATGTACTCGAGGAGAGATGCAGGCGGGAATGCGCTTCCGTTCCAAGTCCTGCCATTCTCGGAACTAGCGTTTGTTTCGGCGGGTTCGCACAGCGGGCCAATATCCTCCCGTAGTAGCAGTTGCAGGATGCTGTGGATATCGTGATGCTCGAAAAACGATCGCCAGTCTTCCGGCAGTAGGGATGTGTATAGATCGGGATCGCGCGTCAGGAAATCGAGGATATGCACGCCACCGCAAAGGTTCATGAACATGACCGACTCGGTTGCGAATGAGAGGAGGGCCTGGACATATTCGTCGGGATCCTTCCACTCATCGGAGAGTGGAAGGGGGTTTTTAATCGTCATGCTAGATCAGATGTCATTAAAAGCACGGAATAAGTCGCCAATTCGTAGAATGAGGGACATTCGATATACTGTGGGGAATGTTATCGCTTTTTTTTTTATCTTCCCCGCTCAAGGCCGCTTAGTCATGTTCATAGGTCATTTCAAGGACGATCATCTGAAGACACCACGCTAGAAGGAGATTGTCGGATGTTATATAGCATGTGTACGCATATTGCTTGCTACAGGGAACCAGATGGCCATTAAAACAATCTAGTCATGTCATTGTTCAAAGGTCATGTCAAAGTAAGAAGATTAACATAGGACAAGACGATGTGATGTAAACAGAAATGCACAGTTGAGAAGGGACGATTCAGGAACACCCGTACGGATTCAAAGTCCACATTCAAGTTGAGATGTAGTCGGTAGCTGCAGGGTTGTGGAAGAAGGGTAACACCGTCTCACTTTAGGCTACCTAGGATAGTACAAAGAAAGAAAACATGACAAAAGATTGGGAGGGTTGTATTCCGTGGGACAGTCAATGGCTATGGAGTCCGGATACTCAGCCATGACTTTCTTAGAGAGCTCGCACGAGAACTGGACTTTGATCTGGTAAAACCTGCATGGACCTCAACAACCTGGTGATGTTGATATCCTTGTAGGTAAAGTACCCTGTTCTCTGCCTGCACTGTCTCATGGGGCTACGGAGAGATGGCGGTCGAGAGGGATCGGGAGAAGAGAAGAAGAGGAAGTGGTGGAGGAGCCCTTTTATATGGTCACTTCTCACGTGCCAGACATGGCAAACAACGTTAAAGGAAGGAACGTAGCTTCCCTCGTGGTCGATTGCTCTTGCCTCGCTCCAGGTGGCAACCACCATGTCTCTTCTCAAACATCTGAACCACAACACACCGCACCAGAGTCGACGTACGGGCCATATTTGTGTATCTTAAAGCTCATCAGGACGGACAAGAGTTTCAGTTGTTCGGCCATGCCTCAGCCCTCGATGAATATGTGGTTGTATCTGCCTGGTCATTGTCGCCTCCGTAGTGTAAAGATCAGATTGGAAGGGGTAATTTCCATGAGCTTTCCAAAGTTGCATTCAGAAGAGTTACTAACAGTTGATTCCTCATCTAGCAAATCCAAACAAGGCCATTGCTCGATCCGTATAATCACCGCAAACTATCATTCTCCAAAGCGCTGCAACCTACACTATGTCAGGTTTAGGATCAATGTCTGATACCTACATCTTTAGTGAGAGCGGCTTGTAACCTTTTCAAAACATAGGCATTGAACCAAGGCCCGCATTTGCGTAAGGCTTAAGAAGAGCCCATATACTGAACCACCTAAGCCAAGCTTGCTCCAACGTGCGGCAAGAAACAATGTGCAACCCCGAGGATCCCGTCGTTCCACATCTAGACTATTTCCGAGGAAGTTGAGGATTTGCTGGTTAAACGTCCATCCTCATGCAAAGAGTTTGTAACACTGCATGCCCCATACTTGTGCCAAAAACGGAGCCTCATAGTCGATATAATCCTCACAGGCGTTCACTAAATCCGTAATATTTCCCCCCTAATAGCCCGAGTCGCTCATACTCCAGCCGAAGCACCTCATCGATGATATCCCAACAAGCGTATCTCATACCGTCAACAACGTAAGGAGTACCCCGTACTTGTGATGCTAGTTGGGCCGTGCGTTGGGCCGAGTAGGCCAAACCTGCGCGGTTGTCCTAAAATATCACCGTAGAGATCAGTCAGCAACACCGCCGCTCCAGGCTTACCCGTCCGTGGACCAACCCGGGGCCGAGAACTATCAACAACTCACAATACCCATACCGCAGCCATGGAGCACGCAGACCCATTCCTACAAGTTCAAGCGTGAGCTCTACACCAACTCCAAGCGCAAGTCCCCAACTAATCAACGTACCAGCGATGTGGTCTCAACCCTACAAACCAGCCGGCCACTCTTCTCCTCATACCTCCGCATCCGGTCACTAGCCAAAAGCCCCTCCAACCCAGAACTCAAGCAAGCGCGCTCGGAGCTCGAAAGCACATTAACAGAGCTAACAGCCGACCTCAACGACCTCGTCGAGAGTGTGCGCGTAATCGAACAAGACCCCTACCGCTTTGGCCTGGAACTAGAGGAGGTGCAGCGGCGGCGCAAGCTCGTCGACGATGTCGGTGATGAGGTCGAGAAAATGCACCAGGAGCTACAGCAGACTGTCTCCAATTCTGCCGTCGACACGCTGCCGAACCCTACCGAGTTTGATGCGGCGCTTGAGGAGGAGGAGCGCGGCCGGGGCGGGGACGATTATTATGCCTCTTTGGAGCAGCAGCGCCAGACTGAGCTTATGCATGAGCAGGATGAGCAGCTAGATGGTGTTTTTCGCACTGTGGGCAATCTACGTCAGCAGGCTGATGATATGGGTCGTGAGTTGGAGGATCAGGCTGTCATGCTTGATGAGGTTGATACGCTAGCGGACCGAGTTGGGGGGAAGTTGTCGAATGGGATGTCGCGTATCAAACATATTGTGCGCAAGAACGAGGGTAGGATTCGCTTTTTTATTTTCCCGTTTACTCCTAATCTCTACTGGATGGACGGTTTGGTATGGTATGGGAATCTCAAGTTCAAACTAACTTTTCTGACTAGATACATGGTCCTCGTTTTGTATCGCAGCACTCATTTTCGTCCTCGTCTTATTATTAATCCTACTCATTGCACTGTGATGATACAAAATCAAGGGGTTAGTTAAAAGCAAAAAAATCAAAGGGGGTTGGCGTTTCGGGTGCAAATGGTTTAGTTTCGAGCCTTCTTGCGCGGACGCAACTCACTGTCTTCATCGGAGTCGTCTCCGTCCAGTTCCTCCATATCGAGGTCCATATCTTCGAGCTCTTCGCCGATTTGGAAGGATTGAACTGGTCAAAGTCAGCAGGGGAACATCTGACTCGTTCGGGATCTACATACCGTAGTAGCTGAGCGCATCGGGCCAGAGGTCCTCGGCAATGGCAACAGCAAGGTCATCTCCATCGGGGAAGATATCGATTTCCTCAACTCCCTCGGTGTCATCTTCCTCATCCTCGGAGTCGGAGTCACCGGCCTCCTCGATATCCTCGCCGTTCTGGATCTTGGCCCAGCGAGCCTCGATCTCCTTGGCAGCCTCCTTGGACTGAGCGGCGGAGACATCACGGCCGCGGTATCCGAAGAATCCGAAGAAGCTCATGCCAACGGGGCTGGGCTCCTCGTCATCCTCGTCATCCTCGTTGGCCTCGGCCTCAGCCTCCTCGACCTTCTTAACGAGAGCAGCGAACTCGGGCAACTTTCTGCGGTCACCGCCCTTCTTCTTCTCAGCCTCGGCAAGGTCGCAAGCGGCATCGAGCATGCCCTTGGTCAAATCCTGATCCTTCTTCCAGTTGATACGGACGGGCTCGGAGACCAGACCCTCCCAGGTGCGGGTCTTGCCAGCGGCGTTCTTGGAGACCTCCTGGCGCCAGTAGAACTCCTTGACGAGCTTCTCGTTGGTGAAGAAGGGGTTCTCGTCGCCGGTCTTGAACTCAAATGTGAAGCGCAAGCTGCGGGGCTCGCCGTTGCCTTGGGCGTCGAGCTCGAATCGCTCGACGTTCATGTTCTTGAGGCACTCACCGAGCACTTGGGCATCGGTGGCCAGGATGTACTCGTCGATCTCGGGGGGAGCGCTAGCAAAGACGCGCATCCAGAACTCAGCCTGGACATCGGGGATGTTGATGATCTCGCTGCGCTTCTGGATCAGGGGGGTCATGAGCTTGACGGAGTGGCGCACTAGAGTGTGTATGTTAGCAATTGGGTTATCGATAGGTGCGCTTCTGAATGCATGGTAGAGTAGCCTCTGCGAGCTGTTCACTCCATAACAAAATAGAAAATCAACAGAAACATACACTGCTCAACCTCAGCACGGGCGAACTGCTCTTCCAGAACAGCAATCTTCTTCATAGCAGCCTCAGGGATGCTAGGCATCTCGACACGGTCAAGGAGGGACTGATCGTTAGACATGATGGGTATGTATTCGTGAATAAGGGTCGTAAGTAAATAATGCCAGACAAACACGCAGACTTGAGTGTTAAAGACAGAAGAATAGGAGAATGAAGGAAGGGGAAATAAAATATCAGAGGGGAGGCAAACAATTCAGGGACACGGCAAGAAAAAAAAAAAAAGCCATGCGCGCATCAGAAGGAGAGGAGCTAAGCTACATGACGGTACTTGTGGGTACTTATTTTTCCATAGTTTTAAAGCGCCGAGGATATGTATCTCGGTGTACCCGTGTGTCCACCGGGCAACGGGCAATGGTGGGGGTGGCCGCGGTGGTTGGCCTCAGGCGTCGAGGACTACATCATAGGCTGGGAGATGGAGGGAAAACTCTGACGCTGATCTTGTTTGCGGTGGATCTCAACGTGGCCGTGGGTTATAGATTGTTCTGATTGGTACTGGGTAGGCTTGGAGTCTTGGTATATTGTAAGTACATGGAGGGGTAGACAGGTTCGATGCTGGTGGTGTATGGGGATATAGGTCAATGTTCATAGTTATAGGTGGGAAATACGAGGTACGGTTATCTGCACTCTACGCCGTATGTATGTTGTATCCTGCTTTGACAGTTGACATATGCAGGAGCACATCTCACCGTATGTCTATACAAACCTTCAAGAGCCCTAATGCATATATTACATTCCAATAGTAGGTTTTGGTAAGGGTATGCCTAAAGAGATAAGGACCTTAACTTACCTTCTAAATTGAACTCTCTATGTTGTAAATTGTTGCAAATTGCTGTAAACATGCACCGCCACATATCTCGCCACATGCTAATCAGATCCAAATCCTCATCCTAACAAAAAGAAGCGGGGACAGAAGAAAAGGCAAAAAAAAGCAAGCATACACTCCAAACTAAAAATAAGAAAGAAATACTTTATTTCAACAACAATTCCTTCTCCTGAACTTTCGAAGAGTCCATCTATACCAGGTAGGGAGTATATATATACACCGCACAATTCCATCCTGACACCTGGGCCCCTTTGATACCAGGTCTGACAGTTACTTTTATAAATCAACCCCCTTTCCCATTATTTTTTCTCTCGAGGTCCGAGTCCAGAACTTCCCCTCATTTGATTTGCTCATTGATTTGCTCATGCATGACCCCGTTAGATAAGAGGAGCGGTCTGCGTGTCGAGCGTGTGAATGTTCGATGTGGACGCACGGGACCTGCAGGACTCGTCAATTGGGGTCAGGTCAGCAGACGTGAGGCACGAAGCACGTTTGTGTCATGGTATCGATTAATGGAGACGAAAAAGAGTCGGGGTGAGTCCGGGATTTGGATTTGGGGTTGTTATGTGGCGAGTTTCTATGGAAGAGGAGGTGAAGTGAAGCGAAAAGAAGCGAATAATGGATTTTGGAATTGGAAATGAAAATGAAAATGAAAATGAAATTGAAATTGAAATAGAAATCGGGCTTATTAGCGATCGTATAGGAGCTAGATCGCAGGCTAGTAACCGAAGTCGGGATATCTTATTCCATTTGTTTTCTTTTGAGCTTGGGATCGAGGAGGTTCATTGAACCAAGTAAACAAGAAATAAAGGCAATATTTTGAAAATAGAAAGTAAAACAAAACAAAAAACACAACTTTTTCGGTGATTTAGAACAAATATCAAATCAAACCAACCACAAAGCAAAAGAAACCTCGTCCAATGCTACCCCAAGCATCTTCCGATTAAGAACCGAGGTCAAGTCATGAAAGTCCATATATCCCATGCCCGTTCGCCAAAAATGCAATGATTAGAAAAACGAAACAGATCGGAACAACAAGGGCAGCTTCACATGCACAGAACACATCACCATGCACGTCTCTGCCCAGATCGAACTGTAAAAAAGATAAGAAAAAAAAGCAAGGAAGTCATCAAGAGGCCAACCACAAAGACAAAAACAAAAGCAAAAGCAAAAGCAAGAGTCTCAAACCATCCAGTCCAGCCCATTAGCCTCTTCTTCTACGGGGAACACTTCACGCGCATACTCTTCCATGTCGCGCCAGCCCTGCCACAGATGTCGAGACTCGTCCGTCACCCGGAGCGAGATGACACCGCCAGGTCCTTGCATCATGCCCGCGCCGGCGCCCTTTCCACCCGCGGGTCCAAGACCCTTCGGCGAGCCCGCGGCGGGCCGTGAGAACTCGGGCTGCGGGAAGTACGGCGCATCGCATCGGCCAAACAGCTCCTCCAGCGCCTCGAGCTGTTCTCGATATCCCGGCGGGATGTTGACCTTGATCTCGATCTTGGGCACGCGGACGTACTGGCATGGGCGGTCCAGGGCGCGCGAGAACGCCGCGCACACCTGTAACGGGGAGAGGGTTTCGAAAGTGAGCGCGATCCTAGGTGGCGGGTTAGCTTTCGTTCCTTGATTCTTTCTCCTAGGACGGTGTCTGGAAATCCGTCCCGGGTGATGATTCCCGCACTCACCGATGTCCGTTCCATTTCTTCGGGCCGTCCTTGAAAATCTGCAGCAGCGTCGGACCAACGTCATGCTCGGCGTCCAGCCACGGCAACGGGATTTCCGGATCGAACGGCGCACGCCACTCGAAGCTCCCGTCTGGCAGCAGCTCCATCTGGAAGAGCGGGTATGGCAGGCTCGTGAAGTTGTTATTGTAGATGCCGGCGTAGACAAAGGTGGAGGGCATTCCGAGCTGGCGGATGTAGTTCTCGACGGTGAACTTGGGCGCCCACTGCGGGACGGCGGGCCAGGGACCATGCACGGAATGATCCGGCATACTGCTGTAGATGTAGTGCTGGATTGTGCCGGCGCGTTTGGCGGCGTCTGCCAGGTCGTGGCCGATGGCGACCTCGTCGCCGGACTGGGAGGTGGTGTTGATGAAGGCGAGCTGGGCGCCTTTGAAGAGCTCGTCCATCAGGGCGGTGTTGCCGAGCAGCGGGCCTTGCAGGAGCGTCACATTGGGTAGTTGTTGGAGTTCCGGGGCGATGACGCCTTTCAGGGAATGTATTTGCGCGCGCACGGAATACCCCACGGCGGACGCGACACGGATCAGCGAGGCCGCTTGCCGGCCTGTCGCGTTGACCACGGCAATGGTCTTCTGCGGTTGTGTCATCCGGGTTGATCGGGGGGGTGGAGGACCTTGGTGGGGGGAGTATAGAGGGAGAGGTATAGAGAAAGAAGAAGGTTATCAAAAAGGACAAGAGGACAGAGGACAGATAAAAGAAGAGAAATCCGGAGTAGGCCTTGGCGAGAAGGGCTTTGCGATGGTGGGGTAGAAGTTGGGAAAGTTGTATGTAACAAGAATCGTGATCGGACCTAAATTATGCGATTGGAACAGTCAAGGTCAGGAGTTCTCCAAATTGTCCTTCTGATCTGCAATTAATAAAATAATAAAAAGAAGGAAAAGACGCAAAGGACGCAAAATTGCCCCAAAAAATGGCATTCGACTTCCGAAAACGCGGAGAGCCAGAAAGGATAAGATAAGAATTCTTTTTCTACGCGCACCGTCCTCTATTCCCTGCCACGCTGCATATCAAATCCCTTTTTCCGGCTCTGCGTGCTATATCCAAATATAACCAATTCCCCCCCATTTGCGCATCCCCGAGGGAGAAAAAAAAAGAAAAAAAAAACCCACAGTGCGGTCTCGTCCACCGGTTTTTACGTAAATCGGCACCACACCTGGGCATTTTCGGCAGCACGGGAAGATCCTGATTCGGGAACTTGAGTCGGTTGGGAGTGTATGATGTGAGGTATGTGGTATGTCAAGTACTTTTCTCTATACCTATACTATGACACTATAACATCATAACGCACCATACCCCTATGCCGATCGACAGAACTATACAACATACAACATACAACGTACAGCACAGCATCTATACATCACGCCAAGCCTTGAATCGAACCCATAGCGGAACCACTCCCGAGGGAAATCAAACTAGCACGTAGACTAAATCACGCAGGTGACTTCATAGCACCGTTCATCGCGAAGGACTTCCTGTTCCACTGTCTGCCAGGGACAGCCTCACGTGGTCTTTATCGTATATCTGGATGTGGGCTAGGGCTTGTCCAATGGCGTTGGGGTCTTGGCACAGGTTGACGTGCTACACTCATGTCCGACTTGCCATTCCACCCGATACGTCCAGGTAACAAGGTACTTACGGAGTGCCACGGAGTACTACGGAGTACGGAGTACCTTTTGGCACAATAGCTGGGAGATTACGTCTGAATTTACGTCTGAATTTACGAGCCTGATATGTATCTTCCCTGCCTGAACATCACATCATTCCCTGCGGCATGAGACTATTTTCGAGATCCATGAGGCAATCAATTTAGTACAACATACTCCATACTCTATATTATCTTGCACGATGTGGGTATAAAAACACGCAAAAGGGGGAAAAAGCAAAAAAAACATGCAGACAGCCCCCTCCATAAAAGAGAACCCAGTTGGAGTAACCCCCCGACTAGAACACTTCTATACAATCTAGAACATTCAGCTATATCCACCTTAGCAGTTAGCAGTCACACCCCTGTACGGAGCACGGAGCACGGAGTACTAACGACACTAACAGCAAACCCCAGAAAACCGAAAATGAAAAGGAGAGAAAAAAAAAATAGGGAGAGTCCTTATCTTCCCCACTTAGTGGCTTCTATCCCCGGCTACGGCAGGGGACGATCTCCGCGGATGAAATTCCGTGTTCTAGTCTGGTGATGGTGCCACAGCTAAAAGAAGGCAATAGAAGTAGGACAGGGGGGGTTTTTTCTTCTTTGCGATTCTGGCGTGATCGGAATGGAGTGCGACTATAACAAAATGGTGTCAGAATAAGCCCGAGGTAACTCTATGGTGTTCTATTATTCTATACACAATGTCATACCCTATATTATCTATTCTATACCACGATGTCATCATCGCCGACGCAAAGCGCAGGCATTCAACCACCAAATTGACCGGTTGAAGAGGGAAAATTCCCACAAAAGAAGACGCACCTGCAGGCTTACCGGAGGCCAATGCCCCTTAAAAAAAAGAGAGACATCATATCAACCGAAGTACAGGTAAGCCATCCCACATAAAGCAAGGGAGCATACGACACAACAGTACCCCAATCCCAACCCCAACCCCTGAACCTAGCCTGAACCTAGCCTGAACCTACCCTATGACGAAATCCTAACCTAAGGCGCCGACCCAGGAATCATCCGATTCTTACCAGCATCCCACTCCCACTCCTCCTCCATCTCCCGCTGGCTGATCTCTTTCGGCCCAACCCCAGCCATGCCCCAGACAAACGGCCGGTGACGCGCCATGAGCTCGGCGGCTGGTCGCTCGTCCGAATGCAGGTGCGCGCCGGATTTGCGCAGGAGGAGCGTGTGCTCCGAGAGGCCCGCGCTCGCGGCCAGGAAGAGCGGGGTGTGGCCGGCGCGATTGCGGAGGTGCACCGAGCCGCCTTGCGATAGGAGGAGGTGCAGGATTTTGATTGACGGGGATGTGGCTGCTAGGTGCTGCGTTGGGTTAGTGTCGAGATAAGGATACGGGGCGAGGGAGATAAGGGAGGGGGAAACGGTGAGACGCTTACGATGGGCGTGTTGCCGGAATAGTCGGCGTCGTTCAGGAGCCAGTGGTGTTCTCTCTTGGTAATGGCTTGGACCTTCTCTAGGTCGCCCTGGGCAATGGCGTATCCCAGCGATGTGAGTGTCTGGATGCGGTCGGAGAGTTCGCCGTCCGGGTGTCGGAAGATAGGTAATGTTGACTCGGTGAGCTCGCCGCGGATGGATACTGACATGTTTTTGGCGACGGATTCCGGGGTGGATTCTGGCAGCGCGAGGAGATACGCGAGCTTCGTCAATGCGCCCTCGGTTGTCATGTCGAGGCCGGCTACGACGCCTGCTCGAGAGAGACTCATGCCTGTGGCGTAGACTGGACTGACGCTGCCCGTAAGACCTTAAGATATGTCAGTCATCCTGATTGGCGTGAAGCGTTGGGCACAACTCACATTGCGTGATATTCACAATAACAATACCCCGCTGGATAGCACTAGCCAAGACGTTGATCATAGCGTTATCCTGCCCCGAGGGCGCATTGCCCGCGCCAAAAGTCTCCAGAATCAGCCCGCGCAAGCCATCCAGCTTGAGCACCGCATCCACCATCTCCGGCTTGATACCAGGGAAGATCCGCAGACAAGCAACATGCGTAGTATCCAGATTCGTGCGAATACTAAACGGCTCCAAACTCGTAGGCCGATGCACCATATCCCAGTTCACATTAGTCCGCATAGAATTCGTAACCGCCACGGGGGCACAATTCGGCGAATCAAACGCAGCGAAATCACTCGCCGCAACCTTCGTCGTCCGATTCCCGCGGAACAACCGATTATTAAAATACAAACACACCTCGGGGATCATAAAATGGCCCGCGACAACCAACGACCCGAGCAGGTTATCCGTCGCGTCATTCTGCAGCTCGAGCATCGGCGCCTGCGACCCAGTAAGCACAACCGGTTTCCCAAGATTCTGCAGCATGAAGCTGAGCGCCGAGCACGTGTACGCCAGACTGTCCGTGCCATGCAGCACAACGAACCCGTCGAAGAGCTTGTAATTGCGCTCGATCGCCTCGGCGATTTGAGTCCAGCCCTTCGCGTCGATCGAGCTGCTGTCGAGCAGTTCCTCGAACTCGAAGACCGTGTACCGCACCTGGCGCCCGTAGGCTGTCATCGGTGTGCGCAGGCTTGGGCGTGCTTTGAGTTCGTGCGCGGCGTTCGCGACTACGTTCATTGTTGTGCTGGCGGAGCCGTCGTTGAAGGTCGGCACTCGCGCCATGCATTTTTCTTGGAACCCCCGTGCTGGGATGAAGCCGCCTGGTGAGGGTTGCATGCAGATTGTCCCGCCGGTCATGATGATTAGGACGCGCGACTCGTGGGAGGTCTCTTCGGCTTTGGCGGGGTCCAGCGTTGGTGTGAGCGTCATTTTGATGGTTTCTGTGCTGAGCTGAGGGTTCAGGCTGGTAGATATCATGGCGAGGACAGTTTCTGATTCTTGTGGTTTGTATCGCTTGGCCCGTGACCTGCGATTGCGGTCGTAATTTTAACGATAATCCAAGGTCAATTGATATGAATCAAGGCATTGATCCGTTCATTCGCCGTCTGCAGTGCGCCACGATCAGGTGAATAGAATTTTCATTAATCGGAGACAACGTTGAAATGAAAGTTAAAACGTTAAAGTCACTCAACCGCGTAGATCAACGATTGACTCTTTTGGCGAAGAAGTGACCCCAATTGAACCCCAACTCGAATTACGTACAGCGATTTTCATTGGTCGGTTCTAGTTTAAGACTTTGTCCCCACTCTCAGCGATCTCGGAGTACATACGTATTGACCGAGTCTGATGATTTAGATATTCTATGTATCTTGAAGGTCTTTAGAATAAGAAACAAAGCAGCACTAGTCCATGGGTGATCGCGGATAGGTTAACGGTACGAACTCAAATTATGTAGTTCAACGCTTTACTCTACGAATCCTGAGTGGAATATGAAGACAATGACTCCGTAGTGGAGCTATAGACGTCATTCGGAAGCATCGAGACAAGCAACGCAAAGCACATTGGCTATTTCCCTTTCCACGACTTCTCTCTGTTTCAACCGTTTTGTGTATTCTATTGCCGTTACCATTTGCGTCGGTAATGCAAATCCACGATCACAGGGCCTAGCTGGCATAAGAAGTACTGTACCGGATAGTTTACTATGAGGTGAGGACAAAAAGTGTGAAATAATCGATCATCTCAGAACTAGACATATGCCCCCATTATTTCCCTTTTATCATTTCCTCCTCCGTTTCTCTACTCTCCACTTCTCTCAAAAAGTTCGCCTCGTTCCAAATCACCCGGGGAGTTTTTGCTGAAACAAGATGTGAGCAAAATTTCCGTAGCTTACAAAGCCCGGCGAAATCGGATTTCGTCTTCAATGACACCATCCACGAATTTGGTATTAAACAAAGCATAAAGCGAGAGTCCTTCATTGCCTCGATTTTTCCAAGTTGCGGTTCACAATCAAAAGTGGTCTCGTCGTCGCGGAAGACTGCCCAAACTGACTCATAGTAGCTTAAAAGCCTCCCTCGATGAATGTGCCAGCAAAGGTCAGATTTTGGGCACACGGCTTCTAGAAAAGGGCAAATGGAATTCAACGTCGGCATCGAAAAGCCTGGAATAGTTAGTAACAATATATAATGTGGGAAAGGATCAATAACAACTGACCATCTGGGCGATGGGCGATGGGGGATTTTCAGCATGATTAACTCTAACAATTCCTCCTCTTTATCGAGAGACTGCCAGAGTGCGTCATCAACAGAAGTTCCAGGATTTGATTCTATAAAGTAAGAACGGATATCTCGAGAGGCGGCTCTAGACGCTTGTTAGCCCTGGTATAAGATATCTAGTCTTCTTTCTTACCGATCCTGGATATCCTTTAGGACACATTCAAGTTCACCATTTGATAAACGACTTAAAGGCCGAGGTCTTCGGCGATTTACCCGAAAAGGCTGTCTTTCAGAGAACGTGTACGACGCGGAGAAGTCATATAGAACTGTATCGTAAATGTCATCGGGAAGTCGAAAATGTATATCTCCATGGGTTATCCCAATCCGATGCAGAGCATCTAGGCGACGAAGTCGGTCTTTCAGTAAAGAATAATACCACTCCTGTTCAAATGGACTTAGAGACATCATCTCAGGAGTAGTCCAAGGCGTTTGTGTAAGGATCGTCGCGAAGCTTTTAGATAGTTGGTCGATATCTTCACTAAGAACACTTCGAGAGCACAATTCCGGTCTTAATGCCTCTAGCACAACCGCTCGCTCGTGGCAATATCCAAAGGAGAATCGAGATTTTGACATATTGATAACCACCGCATGGAATTGTGGGAAATATATTTTTTCACGGGTGGAACAGAATAGGTCAATATGGTTCGAGGGAGTTGCTCCGCCGCCAATTCGTACGAATTAACCGGCAAGATTCCAAAGTTTTCGATGAACACGTCGAGAACTTGATTTCCAATCTCCGCTCTGAAACTGAGCGTTTACGGTGAAGACGTGAACCGTTTCCGCCCCGAAAGATGGCTGGGTCCAGAGCTAGATGGTGTTGGCTGGGTGTTTATTCCTTTCCACGGAGGGCCAGGATATGTCTAGGCAGTAAGTGATTTGCTTTAGGGTATGAGAGCAGTACGTAGAACTTACGCTGACTGGATTGGCAGAGGAGTTTGCACTGACGGAAGCTTCGCATGCAATCATACGAATCATTCAGACATTCCCCGAGCTTAGATTACCATCTGATACACCTAGTGTTCCACCTGGTGAGGAAAAGCAAGTTTTGACGATTGTGGTCATGAGTGCGGAAGGATGTAAGGTTTTGTTATACTGAAACATGTACATTAGACGATAGGTTCATGTCAGCCAGATTTACAACTAGAATATGAGGACCTCTGAGTGCAAACGCATACACTAAGCTAAAATATTTGTATTAAGGCTATACTCCACCGAGGCAAAATTCGCTACCCGGAACTTTCTCCGCTATTCTCGTAGGGGACCCAGGGGCACCCCATTCATGGGCTTGGCCAATCTGGGCGTTGGTCCAACACGAATATTCGTTCAGCATGGCATCGGAAACATTGGCAATGTCCGATGCATCCTCTAGCGGTTCGCGAGAGTAACGGATTGCCCGTCCACACTGGTCGAACCATAGCGCAAGAACAGTTCCTGCGTCGAAGCCTTCGGAAGCAAGGGTTATTGCATCAACGATATGGCGGGCAGTGGAATAGTTTAGTTGGATACGTCTTAAATGAAGACTACGAGGAAGAAATTCATAGCATCTCACATATATAGGGCAGTATTCTGGAACAATTAAGCCTAATAGTAAGCGTGATATAGCCTGAAATACTCCGTAGTCATTCGCTAGTCTCACCCCGGATTAAACTGCGACAAATCCTCCTCCAAAAGCCCCATCATGTACTGATTCCCCCAGAACCAATTCCCCAATTGCGCAGCAGTCCCCGAATCCTGTCCCTGCACTTGAGATGGATCGAGCGCCGAGAAACCACCCCCGTTCTGCTCGGATATATCCGCCGAGCTGACATGCATACCGGGATTATCTGTCTGGAAATATCCCTGAGAGTTTCCCATCTGGAAGGCACCACTGTTTGGGGGATTCATAGGGTTTGTAGGCGCTAGTCCGAGAGCACTGAGGTACACATCGAATTCCTGACCGACCTCAATGAGATCCTGGTCTTGGTCTGCCGCTGTCTGGGTCCGTGTGTTAGCTTCGTAGTAAAGGCGGGCGACGGTGCCGAGCACTGAGCATAGGGTGTGTAATCGGTCGACGGATTGAGAGAAGGTGCTTAGCGGTTGGAGGGAGGCGATGAACTCTTCGAGTCGGGCGAGGTCGTCGCCGTTGGACTTTGTTATTATGTTGCAGAATATCACGATGAAGGGGACGAAGGGGGATAGGAGGATGCCCCTATATTAGTTTTGTGAGAATTTGGTCTGAGAGTGTATAGCCATTGCAGAGACAGCGCTGGTTGGGATCATGAGTGCTTACCAGTGCATGTAGGAGATTTTCATGAAATCGTCTGTTTCGTTGAGCGCTGCAACGCACTGTCGGTGGATTTCCAGGGCTTCCCGGGCTGTCTCGATGCATTCCGGTATGAAGGTGGCAACAGACCCCGGATCTGTGGATGCTGGAATTGCTCGGTAGATCAAAGTCATGATAGCCAGCCGACTTACTTTGTCAGTTGCAAGGTACATGAGGTCGATCTCGGATATTTTAAGATCGGAGGCCATGAATTTCTACATGTTTCACGTTAGCAACTCGACTCAATCAAATCCACAAATAGCAGGAAGGTATACCTCAAACGGCTCCATGACCTTCGACTGCATCTCAGCGGCTAATCTATGTGCATGTGTGACTCGTTCACTTTCTGGTTTCTGCAGCGCCTCTGGGCTGTACAAATATTGGTAAACCTCACTTTGGATGATTGCCGACCTAGTCCACCATATACAGACAGGCCCCCATGGATAAGGAACATCTGCGCTCTCATCGAGCGGCGGTAGGCTGATGTCGTAGTTCTGAATGGACGACGCACGTCCTAGACGCAGGGACATCATATTCAAAATTGTGTAGACCGACCAGAATAGATGTTGCTTTTGGCGTTGGACTGATATGGGATCGTGCTCCATTGAAGTAATGCGATGATATCCCAGTGTCTGGCACAGATTCATGGCCGTTGATGCTAGCGTCCAGGCAACTGATGGCTTAGAAATCTCGAGTGCATGCATAGCCTGTATTGGTAAGTAAGGAGTCTACATGGGTTATATCCGAAAAGGACAAAATGGAAAGGGTGACTAACGCCTAGGGCCAACGCCATGATCGACTCATGGCTTGCAGGCATCAGGATGTTCAAATTGGCAAGCGCTGTCTCTAGGTTGTCGCGACACATCTCAATGCAGTGCCGGTGCTCCTCTCGCGAACTGGCGTCTCTCTCCATGCCGCCATATTCGTAGAGAGCGCTGTACAAACAAAAGTTGGTTACAACAAATGCCGCATCGGAGTAATCGTCTATGCAGAAGTAGACTTCACGGCATTTTTCAGTGAAATATTTCACACTGAGAAAGGGGACATAGCCACCAAAGAAGGCCGGTGGTGTTTCTGGATGAGTAAGAATAGGAAGCTGGAGACGTGTCTTTGGAATAAACCGCACCTTGAACTTTTCTCAATATGTCTAGAACCAATGGTAGAGGCGGCATCTCCAGATCACGGATGTCGCGTTTCACACCTAACCTCGCATTCTTAGTAGGAAGTTGACTCCCCTGCGAGTCTGCTTCTCGCCGTTGGTTTTGGATTCCAACAAGCTGCTTCAGCGACGAGAGAGCCGCGCTGATCTTCGGACTGGACAAAACCTGCGGCGAGCTTTTGGACACGGCAGATTCAAGAAACGCGCTAGCGTAGGCCCCATGGGCAGTCAGCGATGAGCTGCCCTCAAACCCAGAGCTGTGGTCATGCTGCTCGATAGTAGGATTCGCTAGATACAGAGGACCCTTAGGCTTTGCCGGGTTCGATGTAGCGAATGACGGCTGCGAAGGGGTTGACTTCTGAGGCGAAGGTGCGAAATGAGACTCGCGCGAGTTTAGCCCTGTGGAGCCTTGTAGTTGAGATGTATTTTTTGCTAGCTGTTGAAGAGTACTTTCAATGCTTGCCAGGCGTTCCTCGATCAAATCAATCTTTTTCTCACTGTGGTCGAGTCAATGGTTGTCCTATGATAGGAGAAAATGCTCATACTATTGATTTGAGATTAAAACCCGCCGTCGGGGCTCTGGTGGCTTCTGGCCTCTGCCAGTAGATCGGCATACAATGCTGGAGCTGCGACAGTTGGAACATGGCGTGCGCTTATCGCATCGGATCTGTGACGGCGTGAGATCGAATCATGATATCGTGCCACTAGAGTTGCAGCTGCATACCTTTCGCAGACGGCATTGATCACACTGCATGCATCATTAATATTTGATTAGCCAAAGCCGTATCTTTCCTTTCTTTTTCTAAGCTTGCAACTGCTTAGTTGTGGAGCAACACCTACCGCACGTCGGACCAGCGCGCTTGGCACATCCTGTCCCTCATGATCGGATTCCTCGGGCTCCATGAATTTTCAGACACTGCGTATCTAGCCTTGAAGTGTAACATAGAAATTGCTAGAATTAGAGACGAATGAAGCTTCAAATTGCGAGCCCGGGCTTGGTTGCCTTGGCCACCGGTACGATCACGTGGTAGGACTTTTATTGAGATGCGATACCAGAGACATATATGAATATATTAAATTTTGAGGTTAATCGGCAGATATGAGCGAACATAATATGTGATATCTTCATTTAACGTGACCAGTCATGAACGAGAGTGACCCAGCAAGCGCCGTGCCTGTTCTATTACTTTAATGGGCACAGCGCGTCCAGCACACATGAACCAAAGTGTATAATCAATCTATCTTGCAAAGTGTGGTGGGATATAAGCGCGAAAACAACCTCGGTGTCCAATGCAGATCTATTTCTTGGGAGGCGCAGGGGGCCACCACGCGCCATCGCTCAGCCAGACTCCTGTCGGACTGTAGGATCCAGCCTCGGACCCTCTCAAAAACGCGAATCGGAAAAATAGGTCTTCTGGTTCATCATCAGGGTCACTATCAGCCAAAAGAACCGATCTAGGTTCAATGTTAGTGTCCAAATCACGATTGACTAGACGAGGATTTGTTTGTAGCTCCAGGCCATCATGGCCATGGCGATGCCAGGTGAATTCCCCGCGCTTGTCTTCGTCGAGATAGCCGCGCCAGCGCTCTACATCATTGAGAAGAAGGGAGACGCCGTCGACCGCTAGGTCGGCCATGCGATCATGTTCCCACAGAGAGAATGTGATGTTACCATTGCCGCGATAAGTGTGATTCGAATCCAACTCTGGAAGGGAGACATTCACGGATGTGGCCGTGATATTAGGATAGGTAGCACCCCACCAGCCATGGATTCCATCTCCAAGTGGCGCTTGCTCTCCTAGGGCTGCCGGAGTCTCGATAATTGAGGCGAAGCCCCACCGCGCAACTCCATTGATGAAAAGACCCAGCAGCAGACCCTGGTAGACAAGCGAGGGCCGGGTGGGAAAGGCGGTGCCGGGCATGAGGAGAATGGCGAGGATATAATGGTGAATTCGAAGGCGAAGCCCAGGAAGGGGAAGCAAAATCAAGATGATGACACCCATGGTACCGTATATCTTCAAATACCGTGGGAGCAGACCTCCCTGGCGAATTTGCCACGCCTGGCTTAGGATAATCGAAATCACAATTGGGATGACGAGAGCCAATGCCAACTTTGCCCCCGGTTGTTTCTGAATGTCCATTGGAGTTAGACGCTGCAATGGAATCAATCGCGCAAAGGTATAGTTGTTCAGGGCTCCAGTGAACAGTGGAGGTAGGAAAAGGAACAACTTTGACAACTGGTAGATAGGCGAGGATATCGGCTGCAACAGCGGCGCAGCACAGAACTTGTAAAGTACGTAGACAACAAACGACGCTGGCAGCAGTCGTGACAGAAGACTGGAGACAAGGTCGGCCAAGAAAGGATACGAGGGCGGATCTCCAACAAGTCCCGTATGGCAGAACACCATGAAGAATGTACTGAAAAACAGCACAGGCGGTGAAGTACAGAAGAGCCACAGGATGCCAACTGCTGCAGCAGTGATTCCAAGAAGCGTCCAGCGTGGATCGGAGGGGCAGCTAGCTTGTGGCGAGGATAGCTGGAGAAAGCTGAAAGCCTTCGGGAATGTCGATGGGAACCCGGCAGAGAGAATACCGTGTTGCTTGACTGATGGGAAAGAGTGCGCTGCGCCTTCAAGCTTGACGACACCGCATCCGCCATCGTTGGAGATTGCACCGACATGGATTGCTGCCTGGCAGATAAAGCTATCCGCACGGTAAAGTGCCGGGTCGGAGCCATCCGGCCCAGGCCCTCCAATGACTAGGCCTTGGTAGTTGTACGTATTATTTCCCACAACGTAAGGCTCCAGTAATTTGGTATCACGGCAGTTCGCAGGACACCGGAAGGGAATAGTTGATGAAGAAAATGGACGGCAGTCGTTTCCGTTAATACCACATCCATTGTCGACCTCCCTAAGCAATCAAATACATGTTAGCGGATTTTATACCTAGATGGCGCTTCCATTTCCGCACGTACCAGAAGTTCGTCGAGCAGGACAGCGTCTGAGGCCGACCGTAACCTTCGATATAACCGGAAGAACGCGAGTGTAATAAAACCAAAAACCAAGGCAAGAACCAAGATAAATAGAGCAGCAATAAGAGTAAAGTCTTAAATTTGCGCTTTGGGAAGAAATGGTCAAGGTATTGGACTGGAAGTTCCTGGAATCGCGGAAACAGAGGTTTCAACAGAAGCATATGCGGGGGATCGGGACCCTTGACCCAATTGACGGTGGCGCGACCGACCTTTCGGAGCGGTAGCGGCACCCATCCCCAGCGAAACGACTTGGATGATTCTTGCAACCAGACGGGAAGAGTGCTGCCTGCCTCAACGTCCGGCGGCGGCAGGTCTTCGGAAGCTTCGGGATCGTTCAGACGCTCGTCATCCTCAAGCAGCGGAGGAACATATAGCCTGGCGGCTTGCTCTCGGCCCTCTCCAAACATGGCGAAGCGTTGGCTTGGAGAGTGTGGTGTATTTGAAGAAACTAGAATGAACGCAACGAGCGATTGGGTATAAGGTTGCCAGTGGCTGAAGGGCGCTAGCGGTGCGATAGGCAGTGGGGATCTCCGTTAATTGGTATGTAAGGCGGAATATCACCAGGGACGTGGCCCTGAAGCGAATAGAGCGAGCTAACCGTGTTAGACCTATAACATGAAGAGATAGGCGATATAAATACAAAAAAGACAAAGGTATGGGAAGAAGGACAGACGAGATCCAAGATGAGATCTGGGGAAGAGACAGCGAAGGCGGATCCCATCAGGCGGCCAAGGCAGCCAGGCAGCCAATCAGGTCGACCCGTGTGATGGTGTCCACAGGTGGCAACACGATCTCTCCGCCGACAACAATCTATCTTGGGGTGATCTTCAGTTCGGAGAAATTTGCAAAATATTGCACTAATGCAGGGAAAATCTTCGGATGTGATCTGAGCTTTTGAAACTATATCGTCGTTCCACCGTGCTGTCCGTCCTACACTGTGTGACAACAAGGCCAGGGATCACAGCCCTGGTACTGAACGAGGGAAAAGACATGATTGGTTGAGTTCCTAGGGCTTTCTGAGAAATTGAAGACCTCGGTTCCATCTGAACTGGTACACTTGCGTATACGGGCTACTACTCTTGGGCAGTATCCACGTATCCACTCCATCGTCGCCATTCTGACGTTGCCACTGCCAAAATAGTATCCATGGGAACACCACGTGGAAGCCACCTGGATGTACAAGCTTACTCGCGTGGGAAGAGCCTGACTCTGACGGTAGCAGATAGAACCGGCAGAAGAAATATGGTACATATAGCTACTTATGGAAGTAGGTAGGTATTCCCTGGCTTTTCCCTTCTTCTTGTTCTTTTCTTTTTCTTTTCTTGGTTTTTTGTCTTGTTGTTAACTTATCTTGTTGTCTTGTCGACTTGGCGATAATTTGGTACCTTGTTGAGGAGCAAGGATTTTGTTAATACGCCGCAAGGGTATCCAGGTGTCAATATGGAGAAGCCCTTCGAATGGTGGTCGGTTGAGCGTTGATGTCAGAAGGTGGTGTAAGTGTTTATTTTCCAGAGTCAGGGTCTTGATTCCCTTTGTTGTATTGCTCCAAGTTGTAAACAGTAAAGTCGGGTTTGAATCTTGATGCACATTTCATATCTTGCAGCAGCCTCGTTATGCTCATTTCCGTGCATTTCAGATATTTCAGTTGCCAGTGGTTGAGAGTATAAGAGGAAGTCGGATTTGCGTGAGGTCATGATGTCAAAGTAGCAAAGCAAAGCAAGATTGAAGAGACTGAAAAGACACACAAGTCATGCGAGGTATGTTAGGAATGCCCTGCTTGGTTGGAAAGTACCCTTAAGCTCAATGAGAAGAGCAAGAAGGCCTTGTGATGAGAGTCACATGGTGACAGCGGGTTGGCAATGTATGAGGCTCTGCATGTATAAAACTCTAGCTAACTGCTATAGACATTGAAGACTGTGAGCCCATATATCTAAAACAGTCAGCCCCATGAGGTGACAATGGTGAAGGTCGATTGGAAATATAGATGGAAGGAGTAAGGGTGTAAAAGGATACTCACGCCCTTGGATTGACGCCAGGCCCAAAAGCGTCTGGAGGTTCAACACACTAGATAGATAAATGATAATCATTTTAGTGGACTCAATTCCATGGTGTTTTAGTTGAGCTATATGGCATATGCCACCACTCGGTACGGAGTACGGGGTAGTGAACTGTGATTTACGTTGAAATATCAAGCAAAGCCAAGAAAAACTATCACCGAGCCCAGGATTCGAACCTAGATCGCCTGGGGTCCTAATACGGAAAGAGAACGCCAAGAAGTGGCAGTCCATAGTTATCGAAATAGGTGCCTGAATGCCTGAATTAACTGTGGGGTCAGCCATGGACTCTCACAAATAATTAAAACCTCACCCCGCACGAGCCTCAAGCTCTGCAACCGGCATGATGCCTCTAGTTTCCGAAAACGAAGAGCTTGCCGAAGAAATCGAAGCCGTAAACGCCATCTACGATCCCGGAACAGTAACCGTAACGCGCACGACCCCGGCAAATGCGACAACCAACACACTTGACCTAGGGAGTCCCGCGCACTCCAATAACAACATCTATACCACAGTGGTCACCCTCCAAATCCCAGAACAACCCCACCTGTCCTTTATCCTCGGCTTCGAAGCCTCATACCCAGACTCCCGACCCGCCGTACTGGGAACAGCATCAACAGCCGCACGCGGGGAAGGCAAGATCGCCATCGATGTATTGGAGGAGATCGTACAACGGACCTGGCAGGCCGGCGCTGTGTGTCTATTCGATGTAATCAGCGAAGCCGTCGATATATTCCCGGAATTGAGTATCGGACAGGACGATGTCGGGGACTCGTCTACTCAGACACCAACTGTCGACGCGTCGTCGACCGCCACAGAGGCCTTTGGAGCTCTGTCCCTGCGCGACGCCTTCGGCCTCGATGCCCCGCCCGAATGGATCCTCTCGGATGTGGTCTCCGAGAAGAAATCGGTGTTCGTGGGCCGTGTAGCCCGTGTTACTAGTCTAGCGCAGGCGCAGGCTTTTCTTGATCATCTTACGGCTACGGATCGGAAGGTTGCGGCCGCGTCGCATAATATTAGTGCTTGGCGTATTCGGCACAGGAAGGATGGGGATGGCGAGGGTGGGGAGACTGTTGTTCAGGATTATGATGATGATGGGGAGACTGCTGCTGGGGCCCGGTTGTTACATGTTATGCAGTTGATGGATGTGTGGAATGTCGTGGTTGTTGTTTCGCGATGGTATGGAGGCATTCAACTTGGTCCGGCGCGGTTCCGGCTCATTAATGATGCTGGTCGTGATGCTTTGGTTAAGGGTGGGTTTACTAAGGAGCGAGAGGAGGCTGCGGCTGCGGAGAAAGGAAAGAAGAAGGGCAAGAAATGAGGGGACTGGTGATCTCCCTGGTGATTTTTGATGCTCTGGACTCCGGAGACCCCCAAATTGAATTCATTTATATGGGGATTCTGGCCCGCCTAAGGCGGACATGATGAAACACCCGGGTCCGCATAGCCAGGGTGCTTGATGCAACCTCGAACAGGCAGCAACCGCACTGCAACTGCGGATACAACTTTCCTCCTTGGAAAGTGTCTAAGACTTTATGTCTTATCCTAAGACTGGGATTTACGACAATGGCAAATTAGTGGTGCGTGGCCCGTCATGCGACACTGTCTACGAAGTACTGACAACAGGTAATGCTGACAGATGATCCAAGACACAGTCTAGCATACGATGAAAGATTTTGCCAACTGGATCCAGACAAAGTCAGGCCAGTGCAATGAGCCATTCAGGGCCACAACCTTTGATGTCTGTTCCGGGAAAAGCAGCAGGCGTAGAACGAACCAATCACGAGCCGTAATATCATTGAGATTTTTGCATCCACCACTACTACATACATAGCAACTTTCGTCCGAAGTGCTGGCTAGCGGTTCTTTGCCTAGGAAATCGCCTTCTCATGGTGCTTGCCGGACTGACATAGTTGATAGTTGTTTCGCCCGATGCTCCGCGATTCCTCACGTTATTAACCCTTCATCCCGAGACGCTTTGTATGTATTCATGAGATCTTCACATCTTCCATCGTTGCTGCAGGCTGCAATCTGGTCTCACGCAAGACCAGCCATGCCGCGACAAAACTGGGACTTTTCGCCTGAGGCTGGCTGTGAGTATGGAAAGCTGCGCCTCTCGCATACCATTGCTATAAAAGATTGTAGATATCCTAAACGGGTAAAACTGCTTACAACAGTGGGTATAATTCAACCGGCCGGAGCCGGGTGGTGGACCCTGACTATGTTGGAAGAGCAATTTTAAGCGATTCGCAAACGAGAAATCCACTGCCATGAAGCCAAGGAAGGCTTGGCCAAAGTCAACCAGCGGAGCCGAAGGATCGACAGAAGCATTCAGGAAACAGCAACGAGGCCATTTCCATGCAACTGCCAGTTAGTTAGCGGTGATGACTACCCTCTGGGCACTGTGCCTAGATAGCGCTGCAATCCCGCTGGCAACAAAACACGTTGCCAAGCCTTGGCAGGGGCGGCCCCGCTTCTAACGGGGAACTCTTGGGCCCTGTGCTGAGATTTCCCACCTTATAATATTGTATGCCGGCAAGGATTGAGGGTCTCACATGTTCTTTCATTCATGCCAGTATGTGATTGACTCTGTGTACTAGCGCATAGCCCCTATTTTTGTGTGTCTTGTTTTCGATTACCAAATTCAATCCTTCTCCGCATCGTCTAGAAGAATCCACGGGTTGTCCCGCACCCTTGCGCGTGCTCATGATCTCAGATGGGTAAACTGGACCCGTGCGGACCCCTGCTTTGCATACGAGTTTTTCGGTGCCCTCCGCAACGAGAGTCGGTGGCTAGTGAGCTGGGTCCTGACCTGGCAGAGTTGCGAAGAAAACATCCTCTCGGCGCTGATATGGTCAGCAACATGTCCACTTCGGCAACCTGGTTCACTATTCGTAATTCTGCCCCCAAGGTGGATCTCGTTGCTGCTACAGCCAACAAGACATGTCCAGGGCAATATGGCGTGGCAATCAATATGACTGACAAAACTGTGGAGGTCCCACGTGGGTCAATTGGTCTGGCGGTGACTACACCAATGACACATGCGCAGTGGTGGTGTCCACACCGAATCCCACGCTGGATCCTTGTCGCGTCGAAATTGACAAGACTATTGTCGCAAGTATAGAGGCCTCTTTGAAAACTCGCTTATGCGCCGATTGCCTAAGGATGACAAGAATGCCGCGCAACAAATGGCTGTGGCTGGCGTATCCTGCGTGCTGGCTGCATTTGGGGCCTTAGTTTTCCTTCTTCCGTGACCATATTCCTGCGTTAGTCCTTTGATACCCGATGTCCTACTCTTGCTACAAGGCTGTCCCTTTCAGCCTTGGCCGTAGCAGGCTCCTAATGGAAAAGTAGATGCCAGACATCTCGTAGTACAAGATCGGTTTGGCTGCCGGGTTGACATTCTCTTCGCCTCTAACTCTCGCGTAGCAACTGAATCGAGCTTGCGAGTTGGAAGCCACGCCCATAATTAGGCGCTCGCGAACGACTTGGTCAATGTGACACGTCGGTAGCACACCGTGTTTGGCAACATCGATATCAGGTCTTTAGTAGCCACGTAGGTAGAACATGAAACCTCCTTCACATGTAAATCGGCATACGAACGGTTAGTTCCGGGTTTCATGCCCGATTTCAAGGATATACCGACTGTAAGCGCTTAAACAGAAATACAACCTCACGGGAAAAGAGCCGAAAGTGATATGCGGATGGTTTGATTGCGATAGATCAGAGGTTTAACTAGTTAATTAATTAGAAATAGTTAAGAATTACTAATAAGAATTAAGGAGTCACATTTAAGGAATAGTGGGGTTTGCAATATATTAGGTCAACATATATCACGGGAATACCGAGGTAGACGATAAGATTAACAGACAAGCTACAACGCTGAAATGAAGCTCAACCCTTTAGGATTTCATTTCCTAGATCATGAAAGTCCATATATTCTACGCTATAGGCTAGGCAGCCAGTATTGTTTGAAATTTTAGGGAGCGCTAACTCGGCGATTTCCACTGGCTTCTATATTGGTTCTACGGAGTAGCCGAGTTGAGACTAAGTGCATTTGGTGGAGCTGCGTGATCCTACTTTTAACTGCTCCGTAATACTTTTAAAATTAGTGAGATCTCTGGAGATCTTGCCAAGATTGACACATTCACATTGCTAAACTAAAGGGGAAAGACAAAGTTCCGGTGTTAGATAGATTGGAAGGCTGAAGAGACGATGGCTTGGGTTACATTGTCCCACTGCGTCATTAAGGGCTTGAAGAGCACTACTCCGGTGAAGATGAAACACACCCGTCAACGTTGGCAACAGAAGAACAGCGCCAATAGGGAGTTCATTTGCCAGCGGTTTTGATGGTGCGACGAATCCAGGGGCTTGTCTGTGCGGTGGTTGGCTCTTCTCCAGCCGCCCGGCTTAGTCCCAGCGGGTATCAGCGAGGAGTCTCTCTCGTCTTCCTACTGGTCGTCTTTTTAGTTTTCGACTAGGAATCAGCTTTGCACTGCAACCTCTGAACTTCAGTGGACAAAATGAGGGGGGAAATAGGAGTCTGAAACATCCACCCCTTGGCCTTCCCCACTATCTCCGTGATGTCTCTGCACTTTCAGACGTGTCGGGTTAGCCACTCAGAGGCTGGGATTGGGGATCTTCGAGAGGCTTGCAGGGCCCGAGAGACCCATGTCTGTATATATAATTGACGCCAACGCCATCCCTCTTTTTTTCCTTTGCCTTTACCTCCATTCTCTTCTTACTTCGATCAATTCGGCATTCAGGCTAGACCTGTGTCACTTTCCTTCTTTCCATCGATTTTTGCCTGTGGCAAAACATCATACATTCCTTTTTGAAGCCCATCTTTGAGACAATACAAAGACGCCCTATTGTTCATCAACAAAGAACCCGGGAAACATTTCCGATACATTGAATCAGTGTGTTTGTTTCATTCACTCTGATACAAAGGTATTGTCTCTCCTGCCTTTGTTTCATCGTTGCCTCAGATCTATATACGTCTGATCTATTGTGGGAAATCTATCATCTATTGAAGGGGACATCTATATGCCTTGCCTACAATAGACAATAGGCATAGACCTATCAATGAGACACTGTCGATATATATACCCCCAAGCCCATCATGTTCTCTGTTCAAGTCTCTCATTCCATGCTAACATCCTACTACAAGATCCATTCCTTTCTGACATCTGATTCCATTCGTCTGGCACGAATCGATCCCATTTGCAACATTTGTCTATCCAAAATCTCAAACCCCAAAAATTTCAATCAGCCAAGATGTTTATCACCTCCAACTACATCGCTGCCCTGATGGGCGCTTCCATGGTCAACGCCCACATGATCATGAGCGTCCCCGTCCCTTATAGCAAGGACAGTCTCAACAACTCGCCTCTGGCAGCAGATGGCAGTGACTTCCCATGCAAGCTTCGCGATAACGCCTTCGAGGCTCCCGAGACCGAGACCATCATCGCAATCGGCGAGTCGCACCCTCTGTCCTTCATCGGCAGCGCCACCCACGGCGGTGGTTCCTGCCAGATCAGTCTGACCACCGACCTGCAACCCTCCAAGACCTCCGAGTGGAAAGTCATCAAGTCCTTCGAGGGTGGCTGCCCTGCCAATGTTGATGGCAACATGTCTGGCGGCGCCGACGTCGTCGATCCCTACTCTTTCAACTTCACCATTCCCGACGGAATCTCCGCTGGCAAATACACTCTCGCCTGGACCTGGTTCAACCGCATCGGTAACCGCGAGATGTACATGAACTGCGCCCCAATCACTGTCTCGGGTGGCTCCTCCAAGCGCTCCCCTGAGGAATTCGAGAAACGCGCTGCTAGTTTCCCGCCCATGTTCGTCGCAAACGTCAATGGCTGCACCACCCCGGAGAGTGTCGATATCCGCTTCCCCCAGCCAGGTGACGATATCGAGTATGACGGTGAACCCGCTAACCTTGCCGCGGAGGGCTCCGAGGCTTGCACCGGTACCGCTACCTTCGGCGGCTCCGCTATCACTGCTTCTTCGAGCTCCTCTAGCTCTGGCTCGGAATCTGGCTCCAGCTCATCCGTCGCTTCCTCCAGCTCTACTTCCGCCCCCGCAGAGAGCGCCTCCACCGCAGCCACCACGGTATCCGCCGCCCCAGTCCCAGAAGCTACTTCTTCGAGTGCACCCGTTGACCCCGAGCCCGTGGCCTCCTCAACAACTGCCGCAGCTCCCGCGACATCCTCTTCGTCCTCTGGATCCACCTCCGGTGCCCTGACGGGTAGCTGCAGTACCGAGGGTGAGTGGAACTGCATTTCAGGCACCTCCTTCCAGCGCTGTGCTTCTGGCACCTGGTCCGCTGCTCAGCAGATGGCGACCGGCACGGCTTGCAACGCTGGTCAGAGCGAGGAGCTTGTTATCAGCGCTAGTAAGAAGGCGCGTCATCTCTCCAGCATGCGCTTCCGTAATCGCGCGTTCGGTGTTCACCATGCCCACTCTATCTAATCTAGTTAGATATGGAAACAGTCCGCTAGTTTCGGATACACTTCGTCCCCATCACGAATGGTTTTTTTGATTCTTGTCTCTTATTGCTCTTTCATTTCTTCTGGGCTGGTCCTTTCGCTTTTCGGTGCATTGTATGTTCCTTTCTTCCTGTACATTAAGAGATGAGACCAGGAAAATAGGACATCTCAAAGGTTTCGACATAAAGATATCCTTGTACACTGTGTTGATCGATGTTGTAGCATATGTAAAAGTCTAGGGTTTGTATTGTCAGCAGTCTGTAGAGCTTATTGCTCAAATAATAGTGTTGTTTGTCAATGTCCATTGGGAAGCTTGATGATAGACAAAGTCAGCTGCAGAAATACCACTGCCCACGAGTTTAGTGGGTCTTGACAAGTTTCTAGATGTAGAATCAAATTGTAGAGACAGACAGTCACATCTTCAGCATGTTTGCCTCTACTTTGAGTAACGGAACTTGCTTGACTTCAATGTTGAGGATCGCACCTGCCAGATATGGATAGACCCACTTGTGGATCCACGTGATAGCTCAGATTAGCTAATTGCTATATATCAACGCTAGTCCACAAATGGCAGGAAGGGCTTAGGGTTTGCCGCCCCACCGCATTTTCTCACTAAGCGAAAAAATCCACACCGAGTTGTGAAGCCCCCCGACTCAGACAGATTGGATCTTCAACCTCACCTCGACACCGACCAGCAACAATGGCCTCTCGCCCGACTGTCTCGATCGCCACGGCTGCGGGCAAGCCCTCCGGGGCCTCCCACCCCCTTCCCACTGTGTTCTCTGCTCCTATCCGCCCGGATATTGTCCAGTATGGCTCGCCAAAATCTTGAAGCATTTACAAATCAATGGAGGGGAAGTGCTGACCGTCGCTCTACAGGCATGTTCACACTGGTATGGCCAAGAACAAGCGCCAGCCCTACGCCGTGAGCGAGAAGGCTGGTGAACAGACCTCCGCTGAGTCCTGGGGTACCGGTACGTTATTGGCACATTTTTCGAGATTGGAAGGATTGGATCGAAATTTGCGAAAATTTCGCGATCGTCAAATTCTTCTCTATTGAGAGCAATAACTGACAGAATTGCTTTTCATCGAATAGGTCGTGCTGTTGCCCGTATCCCCCGTGTCTCCGGTGGTGGTACTCACCGTGCCGGTCAGGCTGCCTTCGGTAACCAGTGCCGTTCCGGTCGTATGTTCGCCCCTACCAAGGTCTGGCGCAAGTGGCACCAGAAGGTCAACGTTGGCCAGCGGTATGTGGAATCCAATTCGACGAATCGAACGCCTAGAGAATGGAGGAACTAATGAACCCGCGCCTACAGTCGTTTCGCTACCGCCTCCGCTCTGGCTGCTTCTGCTTCCCCCGCTCTGCTCTTCGCCCGCGGTCACCGTGTCGCCAACGTCCCGGAGGTTCCCCTCGTCGTTGAGTCCAAGGCTGTTGAGTCCCTGAACAAGACCAAGGCCGCCATCGCCCTCCTCCAGGCTGTCGGTGCCGGACCCGATCTCGTCAAGGTCCAGAAGTCCCGCAAGATGCGCGCCGGTAAGGGTAAGCTCCGTAACCGTCGCTTCCGCCAGCGCCGCGGACCCCTCGTTGTCTACAACCCCGAGACCGACGGCAAGGACCTCGTCAAGGCCTTCCGCAACATCCCCGGTGTCGAGACCTCGCCCGTCTTCTCCCTCAACCTCCTCCAGCTCGCCCCCGGTGGCCACCTCGGTCGCTTCGTCATCTGGACCTCCTCGGCCTTCCAGGCTCTCGACCAGGTCTACGGCACCACCACCAGCCCCTCGGCTCTCAAGCGGGATTACCTCCTGCCCTCCAACCTGGTGGCTAACGCTGACCTGACCCGCCTCATCAACTCCTCCGAAATTCAGTCCGTTCTGAAGGCCCCCAAGGGCGAGGCCCGCACCAAGCGTGTCAACGTCCAGAAGAAGAACCCCCTTCGCAACAAGCAGGTCATGCTCCGCCTCAACCCCTACGCCGCTGCCTACTCCAAGCAGAAGCTTGGACAGCAGTCCGTCGATGGTGGCAAGCCTACTGCTCCTGCCGCGGCTTTCCTCAACACTCTCCACGAGGATTAAGCGGGTCTTTATTTGCCCCTGCTCTTTTCTTTGTTAACTGTGTTTCGTTGGCAAAACCGTAGTCAGCAAAAATGAATCAATGCCTTTTTTGCAATACCCATGGGTCTATTTGGAGTAGTAATGTGATCGGTTTTCCGTGTTCTTCTAAGACCCTCGAATTTTTTGTATCGTGCATGGTAAGTGTAGATGTAATATGGTCGAGGTTCTGTCTAAGATCATCGTTTATATGGAGGTGAATGTCAACCCTTCCGCTGATTACAACCTGACTCTGATCGAGCATGATGACTGCCTTTTTCAAAGCTCAATATGAAGAACTAGATCTCGTTCTTTTCCACGGTCAGTATAACCTTACTGACTAGCAGCCAGACACTTCTCCTTTCCTCTCCTTTTCAATTACTTCCAGCTTCTATCCAGTGAAACAGATTACTTGTCTCTTGTAGATTACCGGTCGCTCGTTCGACATCCTTATATCGTGACCGGCAACTCACTTGGCTATCCTTGGTGGTTTGCAACGTACTCGCCATGAATTCAGGTGTCTAGTTTCATACGAAACAACAGACGAGAGGCCCATTATTTCTTTGTCGTAGAACCAATTAACACCTCTTAAATAAGAGGAAATTTCATATATATCTGTACATTGACATGACTATTTTCCATTATTGTCAGAAAATATGATTATTGGAATAAATTATTTTCAACATCTAAGTATATAGACGGAGGTGCATATAAAAGTCAATACGTCCAGAGTAACCATGGATAGAGATGCGGCTCCTTTTCCGCAAAACTTCTTAAAGTACAATTATACCGAGGGATTCAGAATATCTCAATTGAGACTGGACAAATACTCGAACATAATTGACAATGTCTCAACCCACAGCGGGAAATATCACATGCCAACAAGTTTCCTTACAGCCCACTTAGTACCGGTATAAAGTATAAACCCGATGCAAGCACGGAAACTATCCCAATTAATTCATGCAGATAAGCCGGCAAGTCAAGTGAAACATACATCATGACTTGCTGAGTTAGCGCGAGTGGTTCGATAAAAAGCAGCTTGTAAGATATTGATTGGTGTCGTGGTTATTGAGTTTCGGCATTTGCAGAGGATAGATAGCAATCCAAAGAAAAAGCCAGCATTACTGAAACACGGGATATAAATAAGCATTCCAATGTCTTATTTCGGCAGCTTCACATGTCACTGCTTGTAATCTAATTGACTTTTCGTCTGCCCCGTTGGTTCCTTGGAAATAGATAGGTTTTAGGCATATATACGGAGTTCCGTATAGCGCCGGGACGTGAACAATGGTATAAAGAATAAAGTTTGTGTTCCCTTCTATGCACGTTTCTATCATTTTCGGAGTTGCGTGCACCTTGAAAGTTGGTCCTGCAACAAATATCTACGAACCCTCTACTCCGTACGGAGTACAACTTACGGAGTACAACAACAACATACTCCGCAGGGCACGGATCAAGCTCGGGAAATCCCAATGTCAATGCCGATGATCACCTAAGCGGAATACCTTTTTGGATGTCGGGCACGGAGATCAGGGACGTGCCGGGGTAGATGCCAAGGAAACCTTCAGGCCCCAGGGTCCGCAGGTGATACATAACTAGTCGCTTGCGAGTCCGGGATCTTACGTCAGTTAAAGAGCTTTTTTTAGTCCTGCATGTTGATGCTATTGTTTTTACTGTTTGAGAGATCACTATGTTTAAGGCTGTATGTTGATAGTTAGAGGGTCTGAAGTCTCTGCTGTATACGGAGTATATATACAGCCTTTCAGGAATCCATGGATACATACAACATAGTTATGCAAGAGTCTGGGATAGACATGTATTCTAGTAAAGCCGCCCAATCCCCTCAGTCAAATATGCAACACTAATCAGGAACATATAGCCGAGAGATCCTGAACGCCCCAAGCCGTGCGATCGGAGGGAAAAATCTCCGATCCGAAGAAACAAAGAGAAAAAATATATAAAAATATAAAAAAGAAACGAAACGAAAACGTGTAAAGAGCGCTCTCGGTAAGATCAACCGACGGATAACCTGCACGAGCAAGGAGAAAAATCTACCTTGTGGGTAAATAAACGCCCGGGTCTCGTGCTGGTCTCTATTCGCAGATCACAAAGCGGGTGCTTGTCTAAGTATAGGCATGTCTCACTTGAGCAGCTAACACAAATCAGTTCAGGGGTGCAGAGCGTGTTGGCGCTATCAAGAGTCAATCAGACACTAGCTCCGTGCAAAACATGTTGCAGTAGTAATGTTGCAATACATTAGTGTCTAGGAGGAATGAACACGGTAGGTTTATACTCCTCCGTATAGAATTGAGAAGTGTTTCTAATTATTTAGCTTATTTCTTTGTTCCGACGGCAAACTCCGTAGAACTGTTCACAAAGTAACTAGAATACATAACTAGCTGAATAAACCGAATAAACTCAGTTACTTCATGTGGATCATTGTACAGGTTGTCTCTAGTCGCTCCCTATACAACCGATTTCATTGGACTTCTACGCGGATTAATCCTCCGCCCAACCCAAAAATTTGGAGTCTCGGTATTTGCTCGGAGAAACTAGATGCCGTAAAAGGAGGCTACTCCGTATAGGAAGCTGACATCTCTAAACTGCCGAGTCTTAGAGGATTAACGGCGGAATCCCGATGTCCCGGGTAACTCGCGTCATTTCACGGGCCTTTCCTAGAACAGAAAACGCACACTCCAGGGGCTGAGACCGTACCAGACGATCCCGAAGGCTTGCAGATCTGATCGCCAGAAATTGAGACTGACAACGTATTACGTGGTCAATTCCAGAGTTGCATCGCCGTTGGACTAGGATGTCGAGTGGACACTTGGAAGACTAGGGTTCCCTGTTGAATAAAGAATGTGGTAATTGTACGGGCATTTCCTATAAAACACTACATAATCTGCTCGTAAGAAAAAAATCTGCATAGATACCCATCCTGGGTAGTTCGCTCCGAAGAATTAGAATCCTGAGCCACAAAATAACCTCTTTAACTATAGAGTACTCCGTATATTAGTTCCAATTTGGAAACTTCGGGTGCACAACAGCCACTCCACTTGCGGACCTGCTTGCGGACCAAGTCGATTCTCACCATATCCAAACGTAAGATAAGCCCTGCGGCCCCGACACTGGGAGGAGATTTTCCCGTCTAGGCATCGAATCGCCCAAGCCACCATCCGACCGAAGCCCAAGGGACCCACTGTGAGGGTATTCGCGGTATTATCCGAGTCCAAGCTTACTGCGCTTTTTCCCCTTATAATTTAGTCCCTGCTCTGCAAATTCTAGGTTTGGGCGTATATAAATCTTACCGAGTATACATACATACCGATGTGCTTCTTTGTCTACCTGGGTGGATGCCCGTATCCATACCCTTGTGCATGTATCTTGCACATGCTGGTTCCAAACCCCGAAATTCTCCCTTGTGCGCGTCTCATTTAAATGCTTACTAGGGCATGAAATTGGTCATGCTTAGAAGTACTTGCAGAGTGGGTATGCAAGGCCTTGGCGCCTAAAAGGCTAGAATGTATGGAGTACGAATATGTAATGTAGCATCCTTGATCCCTGTGGAGGATTCGCCATTAATATAAGGATGCGGCAGTAAAGCGGATGATATTCGGGGAGATTTCCACATTTCCCCTATGTTTTTCCTATAATTTCCCAGATATGGAGTATCTAGTACTCTTCCCCCACTTGAGAGAATCAATGGTCTATAATTGTCGTTCACGATCCCGCCGCTTCTATGTGATATGCCAAGTTTGAACACCCAATGCCGATGTCATATACCCACTTTCAATAATGATCCTTTAGAAATCTCTCCAATTATCTTCATTGGGCTCTCTAGACTAACCTTCTAAGAGACATTGTAGCGCCCTATTCCTAATGTGGCATCTTTGGAGCCGCCTAAACCGAAAGGGCTGTAACTGTCTCATTTCAATTTCGTTTTGACGTGGAGAAGGCTGTAGATTGAGTTATATTCCGAGCAGCTAAATCTGATTTATATTAAGTAAAGGTGACCGTTAGTACTTTTGGTAATTTTGATGTACTCGGAATACTTGCAATACTTAGAATACTCTCTCTTCTTTGGCTCTTTTTCGAGTTCCATACCTGAATTCCCCTCCTTTCTCATCTTTGTCCATTTTGACACTTTCGTTCTATTCGAGCCTCGATTTCTTTAGGCCATTTCGTTCCTTTTTCTGGGATCCTTGCTATAATCCTCTGAAGAAAGAATTGCTTGATCCTGCAGGAGGGGAAGGCTGAGGCTCGACATCGGGAAAGGTTGACTTGCAGAGAACGTCAAATCCATTTCCACTCTTAGTGGAATCTACGAGGCGCTACTCCTAGTGGTCTTTTCCCCTGTCAGGGTGCCACTAACTAGTGGGAGACGCTTCGAGGCTATTTTGTCCCATAAGCTGTGTGCCACCATCGGCCACCATCGAACGTTCCGGTTATCGTCTTTGCTATCGTGTCATATTGCTTCCTTTTTTGTCCATCGCACATCTATTTGGGATTTGGGTATTGAAGACGCTTTCGGCGCTATTCTCTCCAATATCCTTGGTGGTATACCCACCCGTTGCCGCCACTAATCCTTAGCTCTTCGAGGATCTGTAACCGAGATCTCGCTGCCATCTGATCTCCCCCGCTCCACCACATCCTAGCATTCAGGAGTGATCTACTGGGTTTCAAGCGGGTTTCCATTGTTGCTAATATCCCGGCCCGGTTCTCCGTGATCCTGTAACTTTATAGACGCTCGTGTCAATCCTGGCAAATCCCTGGACGTTGGCACAAACTACCGGGATACTGCAGACACCCTGGCACGAAAACCATGCACCTGAGACCGTGACTGCTCGGGACTAATGCGAGATGGTGGCCTTTTAAGCTAGCTTCAATTTCCTTCCCTGTCGCAGATTGGTGTGGGTGGACTATTTCGAGCGCCAATATTCCCATCAACACCCGCTGGAATCCTTTGTACAAATTCCTCTCCCTCATCTTCGCTTCGAGCTTGGAATGTACACGATCAATCCATCTCGCTTTGCTGCCACCTGATCCAAATTTGTCCGACACTCCACTCAATTCTATCACTGTACCTTGAATATCGAAAATTAAATTGGTACGTGAAAAGCGCCTACGTCCCGATAGAGAGAGAGCTATTGCTAAGTCGCCTGGATCCTTTCAATAGATACCCCTTTCTGGGACCTGAACAATCCAACAGAAAGCCGAAATTCAGCCGAAGACGATCTCGTTGACTCGTTCCAGACCAAGTCCTTTCCTTGAAACCATCCGCATTTAAGGACACAAAGCCACCGAGCACATCATCACACTGGTTGTTGTCTGGGTCTGTTATGTAGATGGTCAATTGTGTAAATCACTCTGACCCCACATATCATTCGCCATGCCAACCTCCCAAGGATCAAGAGGATCTGGCTCCGGTTCTGCCATAGGCCCACGTTGCTACGTTGGACCCTTCGGTCGTATGTTACCCATAGATGGCCCATCCTCGGAGCAGCAACCCGAGCTTCCAGCTAATTTACAAGAAACCGGGGAACACCTATACCAGCTTCCACCCCCGCGGGTACCGACTAGTTTACAATTTGGATCTGATCCCTTTCCACGGCAGAAAAACAGTCCCGAGCGCAAAGACAGTGGATCAGAGTCCCAGAAGCCGGAGCAACTTCCCTCCGTGAGGCAGATACTCACTCCAACACCGGGGACAAATTCATTGCAATACTCTCAACCATTTGCAAGTTCGACACTCAACACAGGACGTCGTGGATCTGCATACCCTCACTATCACGATCCGACTTTCCAGGTTCCATCATCTGCACCTGATAGAGGCCGTGCTGAATCTCTTCCGCAACTGCACGGTCTGCCTTCATTGTCACAAGTGGGTCTGCAGGGCCACAGAGGCATAAGAAGCCAGACACCGACAAGAAGTGATCCACCCGCTGCATCTTTTATACAGCTACCTTTTCACACATCCTCGCATGGTCAAATACCAAATGGGGAACTATCATCACCGGAAAGTTCAAAGCGGTCAAATAACCAGCCCCTTCGCCCTCATGTGGTAGACGAGCGAGTCATCGACGGGGAACTTTGCTTCGTATATGCAGACGGATCGTCCTGTCCCAAATTCATCGACGGTACACCCGTCAACGCAAATTGGGGGATAACGAAGGCCGGCAGGCCGAGAAAACGCCTTGGACTTGCCTGCTTGACTTGCCGCGAGAAGAAGATCAAGTGTAATCCTAACCCAACCGCCGAGGCCGTATGTGATCAATGCCGGAAATCTGGACGGGAATGCAGGTTCGAAAGTGCGTAAGTGCGATCGTAATCTCTGAGAATATGCGTCCACGGACTTACCTCGTTGAACCATTGCTGATCCCTCAAAGCCCGCGGGGTAGCCGTCCTCCCATGAGAGGCCCATCTGGCAGACCCGACTCTTACGCCCCCACCAGCCACGGGGCTTTGGACGTTTCTCCGTCACTTTACGACATCACTCGAGCCTCGGACAGTGCGACCTCCCTTCCTGGAACTACCGGCCACTCACCGATGCCAGAGAGCTCGATGAAGACGCCGTCATCCCAAGAAGCCACTTATGAAACGATGACCGAGGCGGACAGAGGCTTGAGATCCCGATCCTACCAATTTCCATCGCCCTTATCCGGTACAGATGAAACTCTTGGACGACCATCGCCACATGCCGAGTCTGTTCGTTCTCCTGAATACTCTGACATTCTGGGGAAACTCAAGGACAGCAATTCGGACGACCCACTCGCGGCGTCCTGGAACCTGGACCCGTACGAAAGCGACCCAGAGTCCGTGGCTCACTACACTGAGTGTTATTTCTCGCACGTGAATGACGGTATGTGCCACATGTTCCCGCGTGGACGATTCAGCTCGTGGTTGAAAACCTGCCCCATCAAGTCTGCACACGACAAGATGCTCCTTTATTCTATGATGGCTCTTGGATCTGTGTTCTCCGACAGGCCAGAAAAAATGGCAGCTATGACGCGATATTCTCGCATAGCACGATTTGCTATCAATAGAAGCCAGCATACCCTTTCTTTGCAACTCGCCCAGAGCCATATCATAATGAGTCTCTGGTACTACGCTACGGGGTCGCTGGTCGGATCTTGGGACTCGATAGGCGCAGCGGGAAGAGCGGTCTTTGGGCTTCGCTACAATGTGGAATCTGGCGGCGTTGTTGTAGACCACAGCCAAGTTTGTGAATACGGGTTACATCCACAGGCCTTGATTGAGTGCCGAAGACGAACTTTCTGGATTGCCTTTGTGCTTGATGTAAGAAATCGCGCATCCCCCGATCAGGAACTCAATCCTAGTTACTGACAACTACTACCAGCGCTTCTCGAGCCTCTATTCCGCTTCGTCGACTTTCATCTCGTCGGATGCAGCCCTGCTGAGGCTTCCGTGCCGAGAAGAAATATACGAGACTCAGCAGTACGCGACAGTCCCATATTTCCAATCATTTCTCAATCACACCGCAGCCTCCACAGGCGATGACCGCTCTACCCTAAGCCCAATGGCTTTTTTAATCGAGATCATGGCTATTTGGGGGGACATCTCGCTCCATATAACCCGGCTACCACACATCCCTCTCGAAGCGTACAACCGACTTGCCGAAGAATTCAACACCACCATCGTCCAAAAATCCAACCAATGGATGACCCGACTCCCCGAATACCTGGCATTCTCGCCCACAAACCTAGAACGAAGCATCCATCAAAAAAATGCAGACACCTTCATTTCAACCCATTTGTTCTACCACGTCAGTTTGATGAAACTGTACAGACACGCCCGCTACCAGAGCCTCCAACCCGAAATCCTTAGCCAATACATTCACCGCGCTCGATACCACGCGGTCGAAATCCTCCGCATTTCTCTTACCTTCGACCAGTGCGCCAAAAAACTTACACCTTCTCGAAACAACACAGAGACATCCATATCCAAATTAACGCCCCTGAACCCCTTCCTCGGCTATGTGATCCTATCAGCTGTGGATGTCCTCAGCTCCGCTGGTCTGGCGTCTCAGTTGCATGAGTGCATCTATTATATTAGAGGTGCGCTAGATGCCGTCCACGAACTCGGCCGTTACTGGGACAGCTCGTTGCAACTAGTCACCGTTCTCCACAGACGCCTGAGTCTGATGATGACCTGCCTGAATGAGCGCAGCGTCTTCGCTGAGAAACAGGGTTTTGCTCTTGATGGCCCGCCGCTCGAGACGAAGGTCCATGCTGGCGCTTTGCATTCCCATCCGCCTTCGACAACGGGCGATGATCTTTTTACTGGTTCTATGCCTAGAGAAATGATTTTGAATGCTCTGCGGCTTGATGAGACACTTATCTCGGAGAGTCGTATTACTTGGATTAGAGATCCATGAGAGGATTTTCCCCTCTCGGCTCTATTTCCCTCCTCCTGTTGGCCTCCTCTTTGGTCGGGCTCCGGAATTGGTGTGACGGCGTGATTGATCTCCTCGATATTTTTGCAGTGGTAAGGGATCTTGTTTTCTCTTATCCTGTTACGATGTGATGGATGCATTTCAATAATGATGGTGACTTCGCTGATTGATTTGAAAGTATCGTTGCTATGTATAGATGGAACTGTGACCTACATGACCTGACTTTGCCTTTTATTTGTATATTATAGTATGTCATTTAATTTCTGCTTTCTTTGAGCGAGCGCTCTGCTACTCCTCATGTACCTTATATCTTTTGGGAGACAGGAGAAGCTTAATTGAAGCCAATGGGATAAATGAAAGAGTGATTTACTAATGTTTCACTATTTTATTACAAAATCATATAGAATGCTATGCTGCTATGATACTGTAGTTGGAAACTGCCCTGAATAAATAAACCTGTCTTCAACAAGATCCATCAACACCGCGTAATGAGTATCTTCATTAACAATTGGGTTCGAGCAAAGCCACCCAAGCACTGTCCCAAGAGTAACCAACACTTCAGACTCAGGATCTTCCTTCATATTTCGTTTCCACTCCAGATGAATTGACGGGGAAGAGTAGCATCCTTTAAGACGTTGCTAGCAGATATCTTCAATGTACCAACCGTTTTCGCAATTATCTATCAAAAGAGACATTTCCACCCATCTATCTAAGTAATATGAACCGCGAGACACATGAGATCTACTTGTATATGCAATACTGATAGTACTCATACTAATTAATGTCCACGGGTGGTCACATCACTCCAATTGCCCTAAGCCAATAGGAATGGAGTCTCGGGTTGGCACCCGAGAACAAAGCCATTGTATTCAAATAGTCACCGGGTCGATGTTTCATATTCTATAAACTCGACATTTGAAACCAATATGGGATTATCTACTTGATAATGAGCTAACTAAAATAGATCTGCAGTATATCATTTCCCCCAGTCAATGCTCCACCATAACACCTCCGAGCGGGGATTCCAACGGAGATGCGGAAGGTTTCTCCGGAATTTCGATTTCCCTCCTCACCTTGTTTCATTGCCCTATCGCATTTCATCCAACCACCCCAAAATGAGGATATATATATAGATATCAAAAAAACCGAGTGCGTGAAAAGCTCTCATGTCCTCTTTCAAGCAGCCCGGGACGCACGAGTTCCCCGGCGCGGAGTTCCGCACGACGGTGGAAGATGACGGACTCGACGCCGACTATAGCATGATCGGCGACTACCCAGAGGAACCCGACTATTATGTCCAGCTGGGCCTTGCGCGCAATCCGCCCCCAACAGACGCCGAGATCCGCTCCGCCTACCGCAACTTAACCCTCAGCTTCCACCCCGACAAGCAGCCGCCGCATCTCCGCCATGCGGCCGAGAGTCAGTTCAGACATATCCAGGAAGCGTATGAGACCCTCATTGATCCAAATAAGCGCATTGTGTATGATATATCGGGTGCAGCGGGCGTGCGGCAGGAATGGGGTCAGCGCGGAGTCATGGGGATTGGTGGGGAGGCCCAACGGCTGGATGTTGGTGTTAAGGCGATGTCGCCGGATCAGTTCCGGCGCTGGTTTTTGAAGACGATGAAAAAACGGGAGCGGAAAGCCGTCGAGAGTTTGGTTTCCAGCAAGGTATGCAATTTCTATATTGATCTTCCTTGGGAAGTTGCGCGAATGTGCTGTTGCTGACATCCATTGGGCTTGGTTTAGGGCGGTATTACCCTGGGAATCAACGCGGCATCTATGATTTCCGTCGACGAGGACGACGATGTGCAGTTCCATATACCTTCACCGAAAGTGACATCATATGGTGTTTCGTATAGTTTCAAGACGCCGGTGTCATTACCACAGCTTTGGGGCACGGCAGAGAATGAGGAAGACACCTCGGGTGTGGAACCGGATTCAGGGGAAGATGTGCCAGACGAGGAACAAGAGCACATGCATGTGATTTGGAATGCAGGTGTAACTGGAGGTTTGGCTCGCCCGATCAAGAAAGTCGCTGTTGAGTACCAGGATGGGACAGAAGGAGAAGAAAGGGTATGATGTGCTGCATGTTCGCATCTCGAAATTTCGCTAAACATTTTTCAGATCGAAATGCCACCGCTCCTGGCAAGTCAGAATTTCCAATTTGGGGCCACTGTGACTCCCAATATCCAAACCCTGGTAGGCACCAAGGGAATCTGGGCCAAACATCCTTTCTCTCTCCTCAAGGATTCCCAAATCAGCTTCAATGCTCTTCTTCTCCCTGCCCCAACCTTGAAAGCAAGCATCGCCCGGGCTTTCCAGCCAATCCCCGGCACCAAGCCGTTCCAGGTCAGCGTGACCAGTATACATACGCGCTCTTTGGGGGAAACGGCGCCTTCTTTTGAGATTCAAGTCTCCAGAGAAGTTGCCAAACAGAAGATCGGCACCATGACATGGAACAGTGGTGTCGTTCAGTGGCCCGAATTTCTTCTCAGCCAGTTCCCATCAATCGGAATGGGAGCTCAGAGTGCCATTGCATCTGCTAATGAGGTCAGTAACCTGCAGTTCGGTCTAATCTCGCTCCCCAAGCAGGGCCAAGCTGCAATCGATTTCGACGACGACGACGAGGAGAGTGGAGAAATGGACGAGGATGTCCGTCATCTGCTCAAGAAAAAACGCCAAATCGACCAATCTGCCGAGGCATGGCAGACCTATCTTCAGGTCACTCCCGGCGGAGGCGCTTTTGTCTTGAGTTATTCTCGAAACCTCTTCTCCGGGAAACCCGCTGATGATCCGGTCAAGACTGAATGGAGCTCTGAAGGGTACTTCCCGATGCCGAGCATGGACCAGGCCCGTGCTGTGCGACTCGAGATCTCGAGTGTTCTTGGGTTAGACATGACTCTCAATTGGACCATTAAGGGTGTTCGCCGGGTTGGCGAGTATACGCGTGTTGGGCTCGGTATTGGCATCGCAGACAAGGGTATCATGATGACAGTTTCATGGCATCGACTCGGTCAGAATATTAATATTCCGATTATTGTTTGCCCGGCTAGTGAGGCAACAAGCGGAGCCGCAGCGCTGACCGCTATATTCCCTTGGCTGGCCTACTGCGCGATTGAGTTTGGCTATATTCGCCCACGCGATAGAAAACTCCGTCGGCAGGCAGCTGCTAAACGCCACCGTGAGCTCAAGAAGTTGATCCCTAAGAAACGTGAAGAGAGTCTCCAGGCCATCGAGCTCATGACCGATCAAGTGCAAAGGCGCCAAGCGCGAGAGGAAGCACAAGACGGTCTGGTCATTCAGAAGGCAGAGTATGGTTATATACCGCCAGTAAACAAGAAACCCAAAAATGGGTTCGCGGAGCCTCGGGTGATTGATGTCACGATCCCTGTGGCTGCGCTAGTTAACCGGGGTCAACTGGTGATTCCCGGAAAAACCATCAAGGTAAGTCAGGCGATAGCCTTGAATTGGTCAATCTTCTTTAGAGCGGACACTAATTTGAATGGATCTAGTTCCAAATTTTGGGATTCCATGACCCTGCGCCATTGCTGCCCAAACGATTGAAGATCTGGTATAGATTCCAGGGGCGCGATCATTTTGTCGAGGCAGGTGATAAAGAGGACATCGCATGCCCCATGCGTACGCACTTTATATCCGAATGAGTATAATTAGACTCATCAAAAGGTCGAAGAACCCCTACCATGTAATTTATAACATCCAGTCGTTCATTAGCGACTTATTATTTCAACCTCCATTCTGATGCTTTTACTCCCCTTTGTGTTTTTACTAAATAGTTGCTCCGCTGCTCAGCTGCTATAATGCAGGGTTGTCATAATTTGAAGCCTTTCTCCCTATAATTATCCTAATAATATCAGTCTCTTGTACAAATAACGTGAGTCGTGACCTCGGAAATTGTTGCTCAACGTCGGAAAGTCTTGGCATAATTTGATACGGCACTCCATAAAGACCAGCCGTGCAATTCGTCCCGAAAAGCCAAATGGAGCGTCACCCCGTGATATCTTCTCATCAACCACGAGTGCACAGCTCTTGAGTTGCTTACTCTTGAAATGTCGACCTCTATCGCTGCAGGGCTTTTCAAGTCCCTCCCCAAACCGAAATATTCTGGCGAGGAGGAGGAGTTGCCACAGCATGCGCAACCTCGTGGCCCGCGCGTGGTGGGCGCCGACCAGATTGATGAAACACAGGTGGTCCTACGAGTGAGTTGTGGATCATTCTATCGACATACCAGTACAATAACTAATTGATTCTATCTTTCAGAGGACTGGACCCCCGCCCTACGGAAACCGTGCAGGATGGCGACCTCGCGCCCCCGAAGATTTCGGGGACGGCGGCGCGTTCCCCGAGATTCTAGTTGCACAGTATCCCCTCGACATGGGCCGAAAGGGAAAGTCGTCCAAGTCAAATGCGCTTGCTCTTCAGGTCGATGCCGAAGGTAAGGTCAAGTACGACGCGATTGCCCGCCGCGGACACGCCGACAACCGCACCGTCCATGCCTCATTCAAGGATTTGATCCCGCTCCGACAGCGGGTGGATATGGGGGAGATTTCCCTGGAAAAGCCATCTGAGGAGGAGATCCAGGCTCAAATGGAGAGGACTAAGGCTGCGCTTACAACTTTGGTCGAAGGAGCTTCGTCGGCGCAGAAGCCGAAGAACGTCAAGGGCGGACAACGAGCTGAGCCGACTTTTGTTCGATACACCCCGGCCAACCAGATGGGCAACACCGGTCGCCAGAATGACCGCATTATGAAGATTGTCGAGAGGCAGCTGGATCCTATGGAACCGCCCAAGTTTAAGCACAAGAAGATTCCCCGTGGCCCGCCCTCCCCGCCGCCTCCCGTTATGCACTCGCCGCCTCGGAAGCTTACTGCGGAGGACCAAGAAGCATGGAAGATTCCTCCGCCTGTGTCAAACTGGAAGAACCCCAAGGGTTACACCGTGCCCTTGGACAAGCGTTTGGCT